TGCAAGTTTCGCAGAATTGCAGCCTCGCACTGCATCTTTCAACCCCTCTCCATAACATGAGCATCCGTCTTGCGTACCTTCACCCGCATTCATTCGCGCAAAGGCGCTGATTGTTCAGAATACCTTTCCCACCCCACCCCACACCACCCCACCCAGCCACCCACCCAACCACCCACCCACCCCAATTCCCACTTTGAATTCATCAAGCACCACAAGTCAGCCTGCCAAAGAAAATGACAAGCTCACCTTCCCTAAGCCGCTTTCAGTGCTTCACCTTTCGCCATCCTCCCTTGGGGCCAACCCTTTAAAACGTGCTTCAAACCTATTTGCTCAAACAATATGAGCGTGCGTCTTGTTTTTTGTTGGTACTCTTTTGTGGGGTTGGTTTGGCTTTCCAAAAGGAAAGCCACCTCGAAAGCCCAAATCATTTTGACACATACCCTCTCACCAATTAACATGGAACCTGTCCGGGACTCAGTCCCTTAAAAAGGCAAATGGTCCAAACCGGGACCGGTTCCCCGAACGTCGAACGGCCACATGTGAAAAAGCTGAGAAGAAAATCCCTGTGATGTTCTTCCCTCTGACTTCCCTTCGCTTCGCGCCTCCGACGCCTCCGGCAGCCACTCCTGGGCCAGCTGCGCCGACCGAAGGCCCAGCTCCCGCCACGCAGGGCTGGGAAGGCACGCGAGGCCCAGCGCCTCTGGCTCCGACTCAAATGAGTCATTCGACCTTGGGGTGGATCATATCTCTGTGGTATACACATCTCTCTGTATAGATACAAATATGCGAGTGCAAACAGTATATGACAAAATGTCTGCACATATCTACATATGTATTATGTTCCAAACATATGCACATGTACACATGTATACATCTGTATATATATATATATATACACATATACATAGATACATACGTTACATCCATTGCATACGTAAATGCAAGCATACATACATGCATGCATGCGTGCATGCATGCATGCATGCACACATTACATACATACATACAAAGAGACGTTACATTACATTACTTTACGGTACATACATACATACATACATACATACATACATACATACATACATACATACATACATACATACATACATACATACATACATACATACATACATACATACATACATACATACATACATACATACATACATACATACATACATACATACATACATACATACATATTGCGCTGTAGTGCAACGTACTGTGTGTAAGGTCAGGTAAGGTAAGGACATGTAAGTATGTAATGTACTGCCATGTCGTCATGTAATGTGTGTAAGGTAATGTAATGTAATGTAATGTCATGTCATGTCGTGTAATGTAATGTAATGTAAGGTAATGTAATGTACTGTATGTGTGTGTGTACGTGTGCATGTGTGTGTGTAGATGTATGTATGTCTGTGCGTAAGCATGTGTGCAATGTGATGTAGTGTACAGTACTGTGATGTGATGCCATGTGTTGTAGTGTAATGTAATGGTAATGTCATGTATGTGTGTAGTGCAATGACACGCCACGCATGTGCATTACATCACATTACCTTACATCACAGCGCAGTACATTACATTACATCATACTGCATGGCATCGCATTACACACATACATACATACATACATACACACATGCGTAACTTAAACTGGGAGCTTCTGTGCGTGTGACCTGAACGCCTGAAGTGTAAACCTGCGACTGTGTCAAACCGGCACCGTTTAACCTGTGAGTGCGTCAAACCGGCAGTGTAGCACCCCTTCTGTACGGATGCGACGCTGTAGCTCAAGGCCTTCATCATGTGTCGCGAGTGCCACATGTACTGCAAGCTGCACAAGGGTTGTCAAGGCTGTTCTTTAACACGCCTTCTCAAATTGTACTGCAAAGACGCCTTGTTGCTCGGGATGATGTAAGACAAACCGAATGCAAACATATCGCCAAACACACAGATGTGCTGTGCAACAGTGTCCCTCGCGGTCGGCTCAGTTGTACCATGAAACGCGACGCGCCGTTAGGGCTCACCCAAGTTGTGTGGCATCCTGTCATCCGTGTTGCGGCGCTCCTGCACATAGGCTGTGTAGTTGGCCAACCGCAATGCGACCCACACGTATCCAGGGCTTAGGATGCTCCCTGTAATCCTGCACAGGACAACGTTGTAGAGGATGTACATGATGTTGTTGATGGATGTGTCCTTGCCCTCTAAAAAGCAACCGCGCCATGTAAGCAACGCAGTCTGTAACGCTTGTCAACAAAGCTGTAAACACAACGCGTGAGGCCCTCAACCGTCCAGCGCAGGTTGCCCCATTGCTTGTAAGCAGATTCACGCGCTCCTGTGTAATGGGGAAGTAGTACCCGTGGGTTTGCGTGAAAAGCCACAACGGACAACAGATTGTTCTACCTCTGTACGTTTGTGAAGTAGCCAATTCTTTCAGTTACAAGGCTCGCGGAGCAAGGTTTCCAACTTACACTAAATGACAACCCAATACATAGCCATGGACCGACATTTTGCATTTGCACAGTGGACGAGGTTTTGATTGAAAACGCAGCCATTTCAGTATTACATTTTGGTCGGCCCGTGCATCTCTAGCGCAGCGCAATGTCGATCAGAAACTCCACCGGAGTTGCTGTAGTGGAAGTGGTGTTGCAAACCATGGCGGGCATACATGTGTAGCGGCACCGCTGTCAACCATAACACTGGCACAGCGCGCCTGGCTTTACCAGTCATCTGCTTGGCTGTCAATGTCAAAGTTGACAGCTGGAGATCACCACTCTGCATTGTTTGGCCATGTGTCCTGGCTGTCCACATCTGTAGCAAACATTTGTCGCATGTTTTCCTTTCATCCTTTTCCTCCTGTTGGTTGTTGTAGTATCCTTCGCCTTTGCCTTTGTTGTTGTACCCTTTTCCTTTGCTGCATCCTTGTTGTCCTTTGAATGGACTTCCTTGTCCATCCGGTGGACTGTACCGCTTGCATTTTCCTTTGTAATTGTTGTAGTAGTAGTTGTTCCCGTAGCCGCCGAAGCCTTTGCCCTTGTTGCGCTTTCCCTTGCCATGGCACACCGCTCCTATGTCCATCGGTGCTGGTCCTTGGTTGCTGTTGGTGCCTGATGTGACTGCTTGTAGCCTGTTGACTGATGATGCTGCTCTGTCGTACTCTCTTTCATGTGATCTTTACTGCCTGCAAACGCACGTGCTGTTAATTAAGCAGTATTGCGATCTTGACTGCGTCTGGTAGTACTGTGCTGTTGTCTTGTTCGTACTTAGAGAGTTGGAACTCCCATGTCGCGAATCAAGTTGCCGCTTTAATAGCCTTGTTAGGTACTCAATGCTTCGCGCACCAAGCGGTGTGGAGTACCTTGCGTTTACCAGCCCAATGTCTCGAAGCCGTTGCCTTGCAGGGTTTGTCTGCAAATTGTAGACGCTGGTCCATCGCATGTCCTGACTAAGATGTAGTGTAGGCTGTTGCTCAGCTGTATCCATTGCTCTGCCATCTGTTGTGAAGGTGCTGCATTTTCAAGTTGGTTGTTTGTGCCTTGTCCGGGTTATTGCTCTGACTATCTCAGCAATCTGTTGTATGAAGGGTATTGTAGCCCAAGGTGTGCTGCCATCTTGCAATTCCATTCTTCAAAGGTGTTGTATTGCCAGAAGATTAATCTTGGCCCTAGACAGACCTCAGATGATTTGGGACATGTGTCGTATTTTGCATACGCAGTAGCTCCAGTTTAACGTGGTAGCGGGGCGACAGTGAGTAGGGTCACCTGGGAAACATCGTGGCGGCATTTCTCAACACACACCACACACAAGGAACGGCGGCTCAACAGCAACAACATCAACAGCAGCAGCTGGAAGGAATCCACAAGTACAAGATATCACCACCACGAGTCACAGGAGAACCAGATATAGCAGGCAAAGGCAAACTAGAGGAAAATGCCAAGAAATTGAGAGAACAACCACAAAAAGAAATACTGTAGTTCTGAGGAGAATCTTTTTGGTTGAGCCTCTTTTTTTGGTTGTCTCGAGTTCTTTTGCTCTCCCTGGCTCTCGTTTGGTTTTGCGGTACTTCACAACCGAAACCGAAGAACATGCGTTGTGTTTGCTTCTTGGAGTTAGACATGGAAGAAAAACTAAAGTCATGAGGTGGCTGTTTGATTTCTTGCCCAACAAAGCAAAACAAAACAACACAGGCCAACCAAACAAAAGCAGGCTGAGTCAACAAGCCTCCTTGTCTCTTTTGTCTCGAGGTGTTGCGTTTTGTCTTCCTTGCTTTTGGCTTTCGCACTAAAACAAAAAATAAGGGCGGTGTTGTTGTGCTCATATTTGCGAGTCAAAACACACACCAAAAGTGTTTGAAGGTCTCCCCAGCAAAGAACACAAAAGCATACAAAACAAACTCGAGAAAACCAACAAAACAAAAGAACAAGAGAGGCTGAACCAAAGATCCTCCGCGATATGATTTTTCCGTTGGTGTTCTCGAGGCCTTGTTTGGCATTCTGTTTTGAAAGCCGGTCCCTTCTGCACTGAATCAGCTTGCAATGTCGCCAAAACATCTGCTTTTGTTAAAACCAACCACTCAACAATGCAAATGGTTCAAAAACACTGCTTTTCCCATTGCGCTTAAGCATTGACAAGCTAGGCGTGGATTTGAAGGGGGATGATAGACATCCCAACACAGACACAGGCACGGGCACAAACCATACATATTTTTTATTTATTTGTTGTTTCTGAATGTTTGTTGATGATGCTGTTGGCATTTCTTTACAGAACCGCAAAAAAGACGTGCAGAAGCCCGGGCTGATTCGGGGCTCTGAGCCCAAACTCAAAAGACCCAGAAGCCGAGGTCTGCACGAGGGCTTCGCCTTGACCTCCGGAGCCTCCTTGGCGCGCCGGATGAGCGCCTGCAACGGCGCCAACTCCAAATTCCCGGCGAGCCGAAACCGCCGCGAAGATCTCATTTCGACTCTCGGCCTTCACATTCATGGCCAAGGGCCGGACCAGCGGCGGCAACGAAAATGCGGTGTCTGTCCCATGATAGAGGTTGCAACTGAAGCTAGATTCATCTGGGTTGAGCCATCAGAGCAACGAAGACCATGGCACGCGGATTTACATGGAGGGCGATTTGCCTTTCAAAACAGCAACAAAACAAGGCTCCTTCCTCGCCTACGCACACCGATTTTTCCTGGAGCCAGGAAAGGCACGCGGTAGGTGGAGATGCGCACCAGACCCGCTAAGAGCAGCCAAGCGGATCAGGCAGATCTGGCTCAAACACTGCCAAGCAAGAGACAAGTCATTGCCAAAGCGGAAGCACTAGTTCGACGACTTCAGCTTAAAGGGCCCCGAGAGGGAATTTTACTGCTAGCCTTCAAAGCCCTGGCTGATGGCGCAAGCAACACGTGGTTTATTCCAGTGTCGTTCTGATGTTTGCTTGCGTGCTTCATCTTCTGAACCGACTGCTTGGGCAGTCTGGACAACGACAGCCGGGTTGAACTTTTAAAGTCCCCGGCACAAAGCAAGTGCCAACCGGCCGCCCTGAACTCGTGTCAGGGAAAGCCAGAACCAGGGGAAACGACTCACAACAATCACGCAGGCCCCAATATCTACAAGCTTCAGCGAGGATTTGACATTCATCTTCCTTGCAGCTGAAGCAGGACCGTCGTGATGTCATCGCAATAATTTCCATCGGCATTTCGCCATTGCCGCACAGCTGCTTTTTGCAGCCGGTGCAGCGTCTCAGCTGGCCCAACTTCTGGAAGCAGCTTGGCGACATTCCCCACTACGCAATTCGAATCCAGGAACTGCCACAAACCGTCGGTAGCCAGGATCAAGAACGCTTTCTTGGGAAGGTCCACAGTCGTTTGCTCAATCACAGGGGTTGCGCAAACACCATAGGGCTTGAGCAACTGGTCGCCCAGCGCGCGGCACACGGACAAGCCCGGGCCGTTCGTACCTTTGACGAATATGCGGCGCGAACGCACCTCGCCGCCCAGTGACTCGATCCGAGCCTTCTCTGGCTCGTTGTCCGGCGAATGATCCTCTGTGGCAAAAACCAGTTGTTTGTCAACCTCGGAGCCCACGATGCACCGTGAGTCTCCCAGGTTGGCCGTCCATATCCGGTTGCCCTTAAACAAGGCTGCAACCGCGGTGCATCCACTTGTTCGTGAATCCCAACCATTTTCCAAGGAGTGGGCGACGACATCTTGTTGCGCCTTCTCAAAGGCATTCATCAGCGCTCTCTCTACATCAGATTCATCGATGGTGTCATGCCCGAAATTGCCTTCTTTGATAAGAAAGAAGGGCAATGTCTGCACCGCTCGGGTGGAGGCAATCTCGCCAAAAGCCCCGTGACCGTCAAAGACGCAGACCAAAGTATGGCCGCTCTTGAACTGAGTCACGCTGAAAGCGTCCTGATTGGGGGAGGTGTCCATGCGTCCCTTCAGGCCCTTCCAGCTGGAGATCAGGGGTGGTGGATCCAAGCGGATTGCCCCAAATGTAATGCGGGCGCTCTCCTCACCAAACGTTTGCCCCTGTGCGCTCAGCGAGCGCATGTGCCCAATAACCTTCGTCTTGAAGGTCGCTTCCAGCGCTTCGTGTGGAATGGCGCGGAAGGGGTCCTCATCCATGAGCACACGCTGTGGGTTCAAGGGCAAGTCAAGATCCGGGCTCGAATCGTCTTCCACCTTGGTTGTGTCATCCACCTGCGCCTGTCCAAGAAGTCGTGGCCAGGTTGCTGGCACCACCGGCTTCAGGTTCACTACATGTCCCGGCTTGTTGTAGCTTAAGGAAACTTCCCAGGTTCCTTCGCCTTCCTTGCAGAGGCGCCGATTTTGCATCTCTTCCCACTCGACGTTGAGCCGGCTGCGAACAACAAGCAGCTTAAACTCCACTTCACAGCACTTGGCCGCATCCATTCTCACCACACCGGTCCATGTCGGGAATTCGTTGGCCGAGGTTCTCAGCTGCACACCTTTGCCAGTGTCCCAGTACCCCAGCTCCTGGGTGGATCCTACCACTGCGACGTAGTCGCCCAAGCCCGTGGTGGAGCAAACCACCTTGAAGTACAGGTCCGCTTCTGAGCCCGGCGTTGGGCTGCAGCTCGCCTCTTTCGCCATCGGCACGGCCAGTGTCTGCGAGGTCTTCGGCGAAGCCTCTGATGCGACAAGCCTTGGGCCTGATCCGTCCATGACGCCGAAGACGGAATTGCACTGCCCCACCGGCCCGACGGTGCCGAGCATCTCTCCCTTCTCAAAGCAAAGGCTTCGATTGCTTCCTGGCTCCCACTCCACGCAGCCATCAGGATGGACCTTCACAAACTTGTAGTCCAACCGCTGTCCATCCATAGTGTTGAGCTCCACTTCACCCACCCACAGTGGGTATGTTGATGCGTCTGTCTTCAGCGGAACAGCTTTCTCCAGGTTCCACCCACCCATCGTCGGGTCACTCCCCACGATCTTTGTCGTTGTGCCCAAGGTTGTCTTGGACAAAACTGTGAAGATGAGTTTGGCAGGCATGCCGGCTTGTTTGCAGGTCAGAAGACCAGTTCACAAGGCTTGAGCATGTCACAGGCTACACTCAGCCTCTATCAGGAGCTTGCTTTCGGACGGGATTGCGAATCATCAAAGGATGCGCCCCTCAAGTTCAACTCACACTTGCGGCAAACATGCGCTTGCACTTCCCATCGCCCGGCTCTCTGGTTCGCGAGAAACTGTTTTGCCCCGCTCCCGGCGCTTTGCCGCGAAAGACCCCACTCAGAAGACCAGCTCCCGCCAACCGCAGGCTTTGCACGCGTAGAGCAGCAGCCTGTGCCCGTAGCGGTCGCTGGCCTAAGCTGCCAAGCAAGCTCAAATAGAGGCCCGGTCGCTGGGGGGTTGGGCAGAAAAATTGCCATTTCAGAAAAGTATAGCTTAGTGTGCCGTTCGCCAACGGCCGAGTTACTCAAGAGAAGACCCCCTGGTCATCAGAAAAGCGAAGGCTACCAAGCCATTGCACGCTTGATGCGGGCATGTGTCAAAATCGGGGACCCAAAGAAAAATGATTGCCCTTTAGCTTCCCTAAAACAGAAAAAAACACAAGTTGACACAGAACCTAGAGGTTCTCTGCTCCTGCAACCGGCAACGTCCTATGAAGTCAGTTCACATGTTGAAGCTTTTCGCCTTGTCGCTGCAACTGTCAAAGGAAGACATGTCACTTCCAGATCTGAGTTCCTGCTCAGTTATCCTTTGTGAAACACAGTGATTATGCTCAGTAATCATGGTGGGCTTGTTGAACACTGGCACCGCAATTATGTGGGGAACCTGCTTCACTTCAGTCAAAACATCAGCGAGAAGAAGTGACGATGGTGTTCATTCCTGAAGAGGCCAACCTCACCAACGGCCCGAGTGAGAGCCCGCGTCAGGTGCTTGCCGGTTTGTTGTTTGGCGCATGATGAGGTTTCCCTGTTTGTGTTTGCAGCTTCTGTTTTCCGAACGGAACCAGCCCAAGCAAACGTGGCGGACCCGCCTCAAAGCAGCCGCGCTCGGCGCAGCCGCCGTGATCATGACGAGCCTGCAAGGCGCAAGGCACGTCCAAGGAGCATAGGCGAACCGGGACGACTCCAATTGCGCAATCGCGCAAAAAATCGCAAAGACCCCATAGCTTTCAGCTGGGGTTCCCAAGTTTTCCCAACTGCACCACCGCAGCCTCTGACAAACAGAGCAGCTCGGAGATGTCGTCCAAACTCATCTGCTCGTCCATGATGTCCACGCGCAGCTCCTTCCGTGAGGGGAGACGGCCGGACGACCTTTAACAGCTGGGGTTGCCTTCCACCGCTTGTCTGTGCAGCTATATTATATGGTCAAGGGTTCGCAAGTCCCCCCCCTCCCCCCCCCCCATGTTTCCCAGTCCTCCCCCCCTGTGGTGTGGTTCGGGTGTGGTGCAGGGTTGGTTTATGGTGGTTTAGGGTTGATCTATGTGTAGTGGTTTAGGGTGGTTTAGGGCTGGTTTAGTGTGTGTGTGTGTGTTGTGTTTCGTGTTGGTTTAAAATATGCGTTTAGGGTTGGTTTAAGGTTGGTTTATGGTTGATTAAGTTGGTTCAGGCTTCGTTTAGAGTGTGTTCAGAACGTGTCAAATGTTGGTTTAAGATGTGTGTTTCGAGCTAGTTTAGGGTTGGTTTAGGGTTGGTTTAGGGTTAGTTTAGGGTTAGTTGGGGCGCAGGGCGTGTCGAGGTGTGGGTTGAGGGGGTGGAGGGGCCGGGGTCTGGGGACCGCAGCAGCAGGGCTTCTCTGGGGCTCGGGTTCTTGGGGGGGGCGGGGGGGGTATTATTGGAGGGGGGGGATATTATTGGGGGGGGGGGGGAGGGACTGGGAACCCGGAGCCCGGGACCATATATGCGTATTATTGCGTTGTTGCGTGTTGTTGTTCTTATGTTTTTCTTGTTTATGTATAGTAGTGTTTTATATATATAGTATATATGTCTGCATGCATATGTAGCATTTGCATATAAAATATATGATACATCGTATGTGATATTTTGCGACAAACACTGCAATAGAAACATGCCTGCCACGTCAACTTTCTGCTCTGCATACAGACTACCCAGCCAGAGGGATCTGGACCACATCTCATCCCTCAATCAAAAGCACGCTTGTGACCGACAGACTTGCTGCAGTTCCCCAAAGCCTTGCGCCTAATGGGATGCAAAGTCGAGGCCAATTGCACTGGGACAGAAACAAAAACGGACAAGCGCGGGCGACCCTGAAAGGGTCTAGTTACCAAGTCCTGCCTCTGGGGCACGGAGAGATTCGCTCCACACCCAGAAATGACCGCACGGGTGCAGGCCTCGCAGTCGGAGCACACCAGCGTGCCTATGCAGAGACGGGACGGCTGAAACGTGGTGGTTGGACATCCCTACATTGTTTCAAGGCTTGGAAGGGATTGAACTTTCGAGATGCACCCAAGTGTCAACTGGTGCTTATTTACGTGACTCTCGCCAATGCTTCAAAAGAAAAGGCAACAGCTTCAAGGCAGTCCCTTCAGCATGAAGGCATGCTAGTCGCAAGAGTTCCTCCTTCTTGGGCGTGTATCTCTAACATGACTGGTCCGATCGCCCAGCTTTGCCCCGCTCAGACCAAGGGGGGCTGAGGCACAGCTCGGAAACCACACATCCGCATGTTGCTCCTCTTTTCAATGATCAGATGTTTGACAAGGTTCAACTCAACCAGGCCATTGCCATTGCCAAAATTGTCTGAAGGTTGCTTCCAAGAATGCCAGGTGCCAAGTAGCCCCCACATGACTTACATCGGCTACTGGGAGGCTCAAAACAGCCCCGGCATCTGGGCTTCACCTCTCGCGGCTCGCGGTCCGTCCTGCGTTCACTCGCAGCCGCCCCAGGCTGCAGAGTGGGCAGGCAACGCCCCCCAGCAGGTGTTGCTCGTAGAGGGCCGCGTCCTCAAAGGAATGCGCTCTTGCTCAAGTTGTCAAGGGGACGTTTTTTCGTTCCGATGCCCCGATGCGTCCTCATGAAAGCTCACAAGGGGGAAGCAAAGAGCAAAGCCTGCAGAAACTTTTAACGGGACATCCCCTGCCCTTGACATTGTAAAGTCTATTGAGCCTATTGCGTAGCGCAAAACCCTGAAAACACAATACCCTAGACTAAGAGACGCGTGTTCAATAGTGCCTCTAAGCCAAGTGTCCCACCCCCCACCCGGGCGACCACTCCCCCAATATATCGATAGCGATTGCTTGGCCGAACCGTATATTTGTGTCCCTTCCCCCAAAACCACCCCTTAGTACTGCGCTGATGCCTTGCTCGCGGTCTAACGTGTCTTCGGAAATGTCAGACATCCCTCTAAGTCCCAAAATCTAAACGTCTATGGTGTCAGACCAAAAAGCTCGTTGGGGAAACTGAAGTGCGATTAAGAGCTGGTCTCCTACTGCCATTCCAACCCCCCAACACATATGCAAAAACTTCATGTTTTGCACCCCCTCAGCAGGAAATGGGCACAAACCACCCCAAAGCCACCCTAACAAACCCTACCCCACCAGTCCTAAACCCACCCCCCCACCCCAACCCCCACACTCACCAGTCCCAGCCTCCGCGTTCTGCCGCTCCGTCAGCTGCTGCTCCTCCTCCGCAGCCTGGCGTTCCGCCTCCGCCCGCAGCTCCAAGTAGATCTCCTCCCGTCCCGCCAAAGCAAACTGCCCCTTGCCCTCCGTGCGGCGATTCCATGGAAGCTCCCACCCCTTTTGGAAGACTTGGTCCCATGTACAAAGGCCAATTGGGGGAGCTTCCGGCGGTTGAGGGAGTGTGCCAGTGTACCCTTTTCATGCTGGAGATATGCTCTCCCCAAACGCGATTGACAACGCGGCGCGCTCCTCTTCCAGAGCTAGCAAAGCCTGACAGTGCTTCGCATTGAGTGGCGCAAGCCAACCTACGAAAGTGTAACATGCAATGCAACTGCTTTTGTTCTCTGATTCCTGTAAGGCAGCTGTCTGTTTCGCTCGAGCCATCAGACTAAACCTGCTCTCCGACTCCCAGCCTCCTCGTCGAGCCATTCTTCTGGCGCCTGTGCTTCAAGCAGGAAAACAGCGTGATGCATGCTTCAGCGTTGACCGAAGGGGTACAAGTTGGATGCAAGCTGAAGCGACGGAGGCGACTGCAGTGTTTGCTTGTCCAAATGTTTCGAATCTCAGCTGGCAGCTTGCCCCTCCCAAAATGAGGCGGTGTCTTTCCAAGCTCCCAGCACTTTGCTGTAAGCGTCAATCAGCCCCTACGCTTCTGTGAATGCGGTCTGGAATCAAATATTGAACTCTGGAAATTCCACGCTTCTTGCCAAACGTGGTGGGAGACCCTTCTTCAATTCACGGCTGCAGAAAGTCTCCGAAATCTTATCCAAGGGTCTATCACCAACCAGAAACGGCTTTAAGGTGACAACGGCTTCACTCGTTTAGACTACGTCTGATGGCTCCCTACTTGGTGGAAAACATGGGAATTAGCCTTGTGACCATTCCTTCCAGAAATCCAATTGCGCTTGAGAGTCGTTGCTCACAAGGACGGTCCTTCATTTAGGGCCACATTGCTGGCACTCGCCTACCCCAAACCGGACTTGGGTCTGCCCGCCTGTGCGTCCAACACTGCTTCCCGGACCAAGCTGCGCAGGGCGCCTTTCTCGGCTCCTGCACATGAGAAAGCCTGTCAGTTTGCGAGACATGTTTTGAAGGTTGGGTCACAGTCAAGCCCCAGGATAGCTAGGAAAATAAAATAAAAATGCCGCAGCAGCTCGCCATCAAAGAGAGAACTAGTGGCAAAGTGGCCAGGCCCAAAGCAAAAATGACGTATACTCCCGCAACAAAATAAATGCCGAATATTTGCCTCAGGGCCGTGACTTGTTTCCTTCCAGGTCATGACTTCACTCGGGAATCTCGCGTGTCCAATCATTTGGCTTACACATTGAGGTGATTGGCTGGAGCTTCAGCCATGGCCTGATTTGCCGAGGCCGCACCTAGGTTGACCCCATAGCCAAAATCTGTTGGCCCCCAGCATCGGGAGTGGGCCTGGCCTTCTTGCCCCCGCAGCTTTTCTAGTAGCGCCTGGCGCGAGTGAGTGTGGCAAAAGCAGCCTGCAGACAGAGGCGCCATGCACAACATACACAAGTGCAAACAATAGACAATAAGCAAGCAGCAAAGACACTCAGAAGAACAAAACCAATCAGAACAACGGGGACACATAGTTCAAAACAACCACCGGAGGAAAATCAAAAAGAGAAAGAAGAAGAAACAACCAGCCCAAACTGCGAACCAAACAGAAACAAGAAGAAGAATGTCCACCAGCACATCCAACCGAAACCCCGCGAACCCCGCGGCCCCGCGTCTTGTTCTTTTGAAGCAGCGCCATTCGGACGGCCCGCCTCCCGGCCCAGCCGCACCCGCGCCAGGCACCGCTCCCGCAGCGCCTCGCAGGCCTGGGGCCTACGAGCCGCAGGTCCCGCGAGTCGCGGCCCGAGCAGCGCGACCCGCGCGACCCGCGCCACGGAGGCGCCACGGCTTCGGTTTCCCCGGGGGAGGCGCGGGGGAGCCGCGAAAGCGATGAGATACCAAGCGATCGTACGCCCAAAAAATGTCATGGTCCTGCCACGCAAAAAGATATGCCGTGTGCTAAAAGATACAAGATAACGGTAAAATGAGATTTGACGTGGACATTGATTAGAGAAGATAACCGTTATTGCATAACTTTCTTGCTACCGTGGTGGTATAAGTTGATATAAGATAGCCCTGACATTGAGGGGGGGTCCTGGTTTGGACCATTGTGCTTTTAAAGGGACCACTTCCCTGTCAGGTTTCAGGTGAATTGGTGGCTATGCTCAACGTACACTTCGTGTGGCAATGCAACTCTTTCACAATCCCAACAGTGAACATGTGACTCCCTATGGCAACTTGTACACCTCTTGCCAGGTGTTGGATGGCTGTACTCCCGGGTTTCCCCGAGATATCCAGAGCATCTCCGGATTCAAAGTCGGCTGAACTGGTCGGTTGAAGCAAAAGAAATGGAAAGTGCTATCATGCAATGTAGTTGGTATCGGGTAAAATCCACATGTGAACTGGGGCTCCTGTCCTCAAGAGTACGGTTTGGGTTGGGTTGTCCCCCCCGAGCAAACTATCGAAGGTGATGGGATTTCAGCTGCAAACCGCCAGTCAGTCAAATGTCTTTTCTACAAACCAAGCAGGGGTGACTATCGGTGCTGGGCGAAGGCGGGGGGCGATCCAATGCACAATGCCACCATGCAAGAAGCTGGCGTGGTTGATCTGGCACAGTTCAATGGTCGATGTGTTGCGCACCAAATCCATGCCATTGAACAGAAAGCGCAATTCATTCACCCATCCACCCCGGAAACCATGACCAAAGGTTTATGGCTAAACTGGCTAAACTGGCTAAACGCAGGTTTTCGTGCATTTGTGTGTGTGTGTGCGCGGACGGCTGAGACTTCAACAATCCAAGGAATAGCGCATTCGCGTTGGAGATGCTTCCGAATGACTCTCAATGACAAACACGTCAGGTGCATGGCGCTGTTGCTCCCGTTCGTGGTAGAGGAAAAACTATGTGTTCAGCTCCACCAAACGAAAAACAGGCGCTGCTCAACGCGCATCTTGAGACAACTCCCATCCAACATATCTGGACATGATCCGCCGGAATTCAGACTTTCCCATAGTATGTGCAACAGTGTGGAATGGCTCGCAGAATGCTTCATGATATGGTTATGATTCATGATTAGTTTTGGGGTTCCGGCCGTTGGATGGTTTCAGGAGTTTGTTTGCGAGGGGCGGCGGTCTGGGCGGCTTGGGCAGTTTGAGTAAGAACTTAAGGTTCAGGGGTTGAATATGAACATAGTTCGTGAAGTTTGGTGAACTTGACCAGTTGTTTGGTGGTTTGATCGAGCGGTTGGGTGAGTTTGCTCAAGGTCAAGTTGTGTGAGTCTCGCCAAATCTCCCGCAATGCTGATGCATCAGTACTGATGCCGTGCAATTACCACTCAGGATAAAGTAGGCAAGGACAAGTCCTCCAATGTTCAGGATGATTAAAGGGAAAGAGCGAAATGCTCCGAAGAAACACGCTCTCGCTATACAACATTTACCTTTGAATACCCCATATTTTAGCCGCCGCAAATCACAAAGATTACAATTCCCAAAGCATGCAAGATCTTCCCCGAACATCAAATGATCAAAGAAAGGTCGCACAGCGCTGAAGCACTAGCTGAAGCCTCACTGCCCAGTTGCATTCCCCCCACCCCCCCCACACACCCCGGCCTGCCCCTTTGCTTCACAGACTGCCGGCTGGAGCCGGCCATTGATGGAGCTTGAATGCTGTTGATTTGATGCGTGTGGCAGAAGCCCGCTGCGATGTGCAGCTCTATGCAGTTCTGGTCGTGCTCTGCTCTCTTTCTTTTCTCGCTCCCTCCTTCTCTCTCTCTCTCTCTCTCTCTCTCTCTCTCTCTCTTTCTTTCTTGCTCCAGGCTTCCCAATCACCAGTTTAGAAGATAAACATGCCATCACCTGGAAGCCAGGCTGAGGCATGAAGAACTGCCACTTGCTTAACGAAAGCCGCCGCTCTTCCAAGGCATGGCCCATTGCGATCTTCTTTTCCCCTGGTAGCGGCTGGCTGGGAGTGGGCCGAACCCCAAGTCTTCACCTGTTTTTTGCAGGATCCCTGGGCTTCCGTATCTCCATCTTTCGGTCATTCTCCGGCTACGAGTGGCTTCAACAAGGCCCCTGCCAACTTGTTGAACTTAGCTTCCCAATCGGCACCAAAGACAAAGATCCGGGCCATGTGCTGTGGGCGGTGGACTCGCTCTGACGTTGAGCAACATCCTCCATCCGCAGCACGGCAGGGTGCACCACAGGCCGCACAGCACCAAGTGCAAAAAGCTACCTGAGTCGCAATCAAAACCTGGTACAAAAATGGTCTTCCCAGAACCATGGAAAGAATAAAGAAGGCGGCCGCAACTATTTCTGGCTGGGACTGCCCCTTACTAACCTTCATCTACCCGGGTTTTGATTGTGGCTCACCTGGCCCGGGCAGAAGCTTGCGGCTGACCGCAATCGGGGCATCAAGCTCCAACCTGATCGGCCCGGGCTCCTTGGTACCAGGGTCGGATGGAATAAATAAACAGGCCTTGTCAGGCTCTTGAAAGCGCCCCACCCCGCTGGCTTCCAAAGGCCCTGTGGGCCCAGGAAAAGCAAGGCGAAAACATTCGGATCAGCCAAAAGTGCCATATCGTTCATTTCTTTATTCACGACCAACAAAATCAATGGCTAACAAGTTAACATGGTTGACATAAACAACCATGTTTATGTCAACCATATCAACCAGAAAATGATCAATCAGCCAGCCAGCGCTTGTGGCGCCAAGCTTCACTTCGAAGCGCCATGTGTCAGCTCTGTACTTTGTTCAGGGAATGGTGCTGTGCTTATGCACGGACCGAATTGGGACGATTTGTGTCCCTTGTGCGTGAGAGCTCAAATCCAGCAAACACCTACCCGCTTGCCGTTTGGTGAAGCTCTGAAATCACTCCCAAAGTTAACCTTTTGCCCGGGCCCCATAGCCTTCTCAAACTGCGTGCTGGATCTGGGCACTGACGACTAGAATCGAAGCGTCCAGACTTCGAGCGGGCGGGTTCGGACGCTGCATCCGGTCCGGCAGAGATGGCAGCCAGGGCGACTGCCCCCAGCCGGCGATGACATGCGCAAAACGAAGGAATTCAATGGAATGCAACTGAGACTGTCAACCAGCTCTATGACTCTCTGATGCCTCCGGGCAGGGAAGTCCGCGGTTCTGGTCAGCCGCTCAGACATTGGAACAATTAAGCTGCGTGTACCCGGACCTTTCCTCTTCAGCCTTGCTCGCCGAAAAGCGCCCTGAGGGTGGTTTAGAGCAGCAAGAGTGCGGCCCTTCAGAAAAATCGAGCACACCAAGCCGGTCTATCCTCCAAAGCCGCGGTGGGAATGCTGTGAGGGGAGCCAGGTCAGGTTGACCGGCCGAAACGCGGGGGTTGCTAGCGGACCGCCATTCGCATCACGTAACGGAGAAGAAAAGAGAGTACCCTTTTGCATCCTCCCTTGGCCCAAAACGTGTGCAGGCGCCCTTGGCCTCGTGAGCCGCAACTAGACATAGATTCCGATTCGCAGTGACCAATCAACGCAGAATGGTGAGGCCAATTTCGCATCACTCGTAGCCACACTTGGCCTCTACCTGGAACCGCCAAGACTCTGCAAGTGAGGATTTACCTTTGGGCGAAAGTAGATGGAATCATCCCCCCCAAGTAGGTTTTGTCTGCCCCTTTGCTTACGCTTACCACATAGGTGTTGGCTTCCATTTCCACTTTGTATTGGCCTCCACTTCCATTGTGTTGAAGACCAAAAGGACATGCATTGAGTCAAATATGTTTCGGGTCCCACACAACCTCCTCAATAAGGCCATCACAGCTTCCCTGCATCGCAGCGTGCTGTACAAGTAGCAGAATACTTCGTGCAATTGTGCTGGAAGACGGGGTCATGCCAGTCCAAATCCTCAACACGCAATGCCATCTCTTGTCCTCTTGTCCAGGAAACGTCGACGTTCTTCCTCCAATCGAGCCGACTCGCTCGCCCGGCCTGCCCCGTCAAAGGATGAATTCTGGCTGTCCCGTGGGCATTTGAGGCATCGCGGCAGCGCGGATACCGTGGCATGCAGTGAATCGTATACTATACGGTCCCACTGCAACGCCTCACTGTGAATTTGGAGGCGGCTGCCTGGCCGAAGCAACTGGAAATGCGTTGTTTCTTCTGTGGGGCGTCGGAGCGGGGGGAGGGGGGGCCTGTCTCAGTCTTAGACCTTCCATTCGTGGGGCGTTAAGAGGGATCAGTGTTGGGACCAAAAAAAGGCGTCCGCATTTCGGGACAAAGAAGAACTTCCATTTGGGGGCGGGGGGGTTCAAAGAAGCACGTTCCCAGCAAAGCGTGTTCGCATGGAATATCAATTCATCCAGTGGCAAATCATTGTGCTTGGTCAACCATACTCCATGCTCGCAGGAACCAGCCCCATGTGCATGGGCTAAGCGTTCTGATCGCCAATAACAAATGCTATGATTCCTTCAATGGTGGTCTCATGTCCAAATAGTTGGTGCCGGTTGTGCGAGTCCATGCAAGGTGCTACAGCACGAACAGGGCCGCACAAAACGAACACAGAAGCCGACAATCTCAGCCGAAGGCATCTTAATCCTCGAGCCAAACAACATGGCCTCCCGCGAAAGAAAGGTTTGTCGGTCTCAAAGGTGGATGAAAACAACACTCCAAAGCTGTGCCCCCCTCAATAGCGCCTCTTCAGGAAGGGATGCTGCAGCGCTTGTGAAGCCGTTGCGCGGTTGGCGGGCTCGAAGGTCATGAGTTGCCGGATGAGGCCTTGGCGCGGTTTGCGCGTGAGCTTAGGGCCCTCAAAATGAGGCACTTTGAAGGGAAGTGCAAAACTCTTTCTGAAGCAAGAAGGACTAAAAACGCTGGGAAAGAAAAACCAATCACTGAAGGGAGCCTTTCACAAGCTTTCGTCGAGCGCCTGGCCAAACAGCTTACCCTGGCTGAGCTCTGACCGGAGCCCAAAATGCGCGAGCGCCTGTCCGCCAAGCGTCTCTTGGCCTGGTCAGAAACATGCTGCCAGCGCCTGCCGTCCAGCCTGGAGCCGCGTCCCTATCCGGTTGCCCAAACTCCTTCTGCACTTCAAAGGAACCACGGCGTGGCCTTCAATACATTCATGGCGGTCAAAGCAAGCAGCAAACACGAAATCTACAAGCGAGCAGGGTGGTTGCAAGGTGTTTGGCCAGCTTCCCATAGACTGTGGACTATATGCACTAGTTCACCAGTTCCCTGCCAAGAAATCAAGGGTCGCGACTCTGCGACAAGCCGTTCCGTGGGGCGGGACGGAGCCACTATGACTCTAACGTCATGCGCGTAAATGCTCCGACTTTAGCTAGATCAGCTCCTGAACTTTAGGACTTTAGGGCTTGGTTTGAGATTTGGTTTAGGGGTTGGTTGTGAGTTGGATTGGGGGGGGGGTAAGCATGATGCTGTGTGGGTATAGGGCGCTCACCAAGCTGCTAATCAGCAGCTCCAACCAACCAACCAAGGAACCAAGCGACCGACCAACCGACCAACCGACCAACCCACCGACCGACCGACAACCAGCCAAACCGAACCAAACCAAGCCAAACCAAACCTAACCAAGCCAAACCAATCCAAACCTAACCAAGCCAAACCAAGCCAAACCTAACCAAGCCAAACCAAGCCAAACCTAGCCAAACCAAACCCAAACCAAACCAGCCAAAGCAAACCAAACCAAACCGAACCGAACCGAACCGAACCAAACCAAACCAACCAACCAACCAACCACTTACTTTCAGCCTGCAAGGGGCTGCGTGCCAAATAGCCCTCAATCGCTCAGTGGCAAAATGCGGGCGGGCGGCTTGTAGACGCAGTTCTTCACCTTCTGCAGCACCTCTGCGTCCGACTGCGCGTAGAAGGGCGGCGTGGCGGAGAGCGACATATACAGCAGGACTCCTTGAGAGCGGGCGGCCGGCGGCCGGGCGCGCAGTGCAGTGCATAAGAGCCCTTGGCATGACGCTATTTGGCGGTGGGTCAAAAATAGGGCAACCCCGGCAAAGGGAAAACATGGACCAAAACCTGCGGTTTTCTGGTGGTTTAAGTTTGACCCACAGCCAAATTTAGCCCCCAAGCAACCTGGCTAGCGGCTTCTTTGCACACACCGCTGTTCTTTCCTTGCTTCCGACAGATTGCCAACGAACCAAATACAGCAGACTGCAAATTCTCCCAGCATCAAGTTCCTTGCTTGTATTTGTTAAGTGTGGCGATTGATTGACGGACAAGCAGCTGCATGCATTCCAAGTGCGCACTTTACCTAGCCTTAGCATGTCCAAAAGCACGTCCCAGAGAATCGGGAATCGGGGCCTTCCAATACAAAAGGCATCAAAAAGAGACCGTTCCCGGAGTTGCGCCAAAGGGTGGATGCTATGCGATGCGTGCTCCCTTCAATGACAACTCCCTTAGGCTTAGTTGTTCAAACCACGTTTGTTGCAATGTCAAGGCCTCCGGTCCTGCAGCCCAGCAGTCCACCGGGGTGTGGTATGGCTCCCCACGCACCACTTCAGGCGCCACAGTGTCAGGGGACCCCATGCGGGTGCGCATCCGGAAATGCCTGAGGCTGCCAACTTGTCCACTTCAAACATGACAGACTATGGGTCCAGGTGGTTCTGCAACTTGCTTGGCATATCGAGTAAACACCGACAGGCTTGCTGTTGTTGTTTGGGGGGTCGTTTTAGGTTGTTTCGGGGTTGGTTTAGGCAGGTTTGGGGTTGATTTAGGTTGGTTTGGGGGTGGTTTAAGGTTGATTAGGTGGGCTTTGGGATGTAGGGTTGCCTCAGGACTGCTTTAGGGTTCTTCCGGGTTAGTTCAGGCCAGGCTTGATCTGAGGTTGGTTTTAGGTTGGATGGGAGTGCTGGGGTGCGGGCTCCGGGGCTCCAATGTCGGCCCAAAATCCTCCCACTCCCCAGACCCCGCCCCCGAGCCCGCGTCTTTTTAGCTCCTTAATGGCACCTTCAAAATGCCCATGCCCCGCCAATCTCCGAATCTCCGAGCCGCGGGGGCTGCGGGCGCGCCGCGAAGCCGAAGTCGCAGAGCTTGTAGGTGTTCTGCTCCGGGGGGACGCCTCAGCCGTCTCTCCAGTCGAGCTCGAGCTGGAGAGATGGGGTTGGGGCACCTGATTCCAAGCTCCACTTGCCCATCGCCAACAAAGCCCTTGCAAGTATGCATTGCAATCCATCCAAGTCTTTGGATGTTTTTGGGTGAGGGGCTGGGAGACTTCAAAGGCATGACCCAATGTCTGATCATTTGCTTCCAAGGGAGAAATAGTGAATGCTGATCATATTCAAAATCTCAGGTGACAGCTTGATGTGCCACCAACACACCTTGACTGTGCGTCGCTTCCAAATGGAGCCACTGTACAACTCTGATGGGAAAAGGGGGGCAAAGAGGTGTCCTTAACCCCGCAATTTTTGAAGGCCCATTGTATGTGTTGTTTCCGGCCCCACAATCCAAAGGTTGATTTCATTACCTATGAAAAGGGAACTGTTCGGCGTTTTGAGTGTAAGTGTAGGCTCTACCAAGTCACAGGTCATGCGCCGGGCCCAATATGTTTCCGACTTGGGATATGCAACTGCCGCGATTTTGACCAGGCCTTGGCGACATAAACTTGCCGAAGGTGGTACATTCCCAGTTGGTAGTTGGAAATGTGAGCATGAGTCATTGAGCAAAATGGAAGCAAAGGCCAGAAACCAGCTTACCCAACATTCACTGGGGCGTGCTTTATCATTCTTTGGTATGCCTATTTAAGCGTCTTACGGGGGCCTCGGCGTGTTGGACTCCTTGTCGGAACCCCCTTTGAAGAAGTCACCAGAGTCTCCTACAATTCCCACCATGGCCGCGCAGTCCATGGACACACCTCCCCTCCTGGAGACTCAAGCGTGGCAACCATCTGCATTGATTCTTCGTGGGTGTGTCTCTGCAAATATGGGGAACCCCATAAATGGGTGGTTTTCCATCAGTGTCCTTGAAACCAACCCCCAAAATGGGTACCAAAAAAAAACAGGTCCCCACTGGCCTTTGCTCCCGCCCAACGCCCACCCGGCCTTTCTGGGCGATCAGCACATTTTCGCCTCGGCCAAATGGACAAAACACAGACTCACGACGGTGCCCAGCCTCCGACGCAGTCAAATCCCACGTGCCACCACGGCACACTTCACATCGCGATGCACGACGGGCTGATCATGCCTGAGTGCATCTTTATGGGGAAAGAAAGATTGCTGCGTTTGGGGGGGAAAGAAAGATTGTGTCATGTGTCTAGCTTGCTCTCTCCTTATCGATGGATTGATTTGCTGCCCCATGTCTTTTAGGGTCTTTGACACACACCCACACCCACACATTCACACAGACACACGGTGATCAACCCCGTCAAGCCCGACAACCCCATCAACCCCATCATTTCCGAAGCCCACACAATCTCCAGCTGTGGCGCAGGTAGCTCAGGGCGGACAGGAGGTGCACTTGGACCCGTCCTGCCACGTGCTCTGTGAGGCCACCTGCGCGAGCGAGTTTCGAGCGAACCTCGGGGAACCGTTTTTGCCTGGAAAACGAAGATCTGGCAAGATGGGCGTGCGAAAGCTAGCAAAGCTTCGAGGACACACACACACACACACACACACACACACACACACACACACACACACACACACACGCACAAGGTTCACAAGATGGTGCAAGTTGGGGCAACATTGCGGCGCAAACCCGACCAGTCACGCGTTGAGGGAGGGCTCAGACACGCGAAGAAAAAGAAGCGAAAGCATGGAGAAATACCTCTACAGCTGGCTGTCTTGACACCGCCTTTGCAGCTTTACGTTACGCCAGGACCAAGTGCTTGCCATGTCAAGAGTGGACTGCGTGCGAAAGAGTAACCCATTGGCCTGCATCCCGTCAGTTGGCACTAAACTCATGAGGCATGATTAGGGTAGCCCCATGCCCAGCAATGCACTCTATGTCGCTTCAAGATACTGGCAAAGAGCCGGCATTGGCACGGGCAGGTTAGGCGGCTTCCACTTAGGGCATTTTCCTCCCTGCAACAGCTCCACCTTTGTCAGAGTAGGACGCGATCATGTCGAAGAGATCGCCGCCGTTGCAGCACTCCATCACCAGGGACACCACGTCAGGATCCTGGAAGACCTCGTAGAGTCCCACGATGTGCCTGAGGCGCGGTTGCGAGGCCGCATCCCCTCCGCGCCAGGCGGGGAAAAGCAAGCACGGAGAAAATAAAACGGTACGGAACGAAGCCAAATTCACGCAAGGCTGAACCACCTGAAGTACGGATGGAAAAACTACCAAAGGAGGAACACCAACCGCTCGGACATGCTACGTCACTGAAGCGGAAAGGTGGCAAAACAATCTCGGTCTGCTCCTTCGACTGGGGTTGGTGCTCAGGAGGCTGAAACTGTGGCGCCAGTCAGCTTTTAGCCTCAAACTTGATTGGCGTAGATGCATTTTAGGAAGCCCTAACATTGCAATGGATAAATATATGATCCACTTGATAGCCTGTGTTTTTTTTCTTTGCTTCAGGACAATAGGAGACATGCGGGATAGTACATTGGCCTCTTTCAGCAACCCTCCTTTCTGGGGCTGAGGTTGGCTGGAGATAGCGTGGTTGTGCTCAACTGCTGAAACTAGAGTTGCACGCCCTGATGTTTCAGCATACAATCCATAACTTCTGTTTACTTGATTCATAAATTGCTAGATCCTTTTGGCATTTGCTGACCTGAACAACTTTCTGGAAATGAGCCCAAGGCATGTCAACCAAGATTCGGATGCGCGAGGGCCTTGTGCATCTTGATCTCTCCCTCCAGGTGCCTCAGCAAAAAATCACCGGCGCGGCGACACCAGCTCAAATGTTGCGCAAACTGGCGCCTCAACATCTCTGCAGCCACAACAAGACTGGGTCAACTACCGCATAACAAACCCCATTTTGTTCCGTCTATCTGTATGAGCGCTGGGGTTCTATCAGATTGCTTGCAAGGTGCTTGCCAGTAGTATTCGGCCAAACCGCCCACCCACCCCCCCACCCCGCGAAACGCCCACCACAGCTTCGGCTGCGGCACCCATCGCCAAAAAGGTTGCGCACGTCGCGCGCAGCAAGGCGAGCCTGCCGAATACTCTGCGCCGGGCACACATGCACAGCGCATGTTCGAATGGGAAGTTGTTTCTGGGAGTTGATCAAAGAAAAGCTCCGCAAATCCTTTACCGTTTAAGAAGCGTTGGTGCTTTGACCGGCATCCTGTCTGAGACACCCATGGCTCCAAATGTATGCGGAGTTCACTAGACATACATTTAGACTTTGAACTGATCAAGCGCTACCAAGGGACACCTTTTCGTGGGGAAGGTAGATTTCTCTGGCACGCGAGAGGTGTCAGACCGACCCACGTTCACCTTTCTCTTCACCTTTCCACTCAAACCTGAACGTTCTGGTCGCCAATCATAACATATGCCAACAGATTGAACCTTGCGAGAGAGGCATGGTGAATGATGGACATGCCCGCTAGTCACGAAACAATATTGCTGCGTTTGTTTGTGGAAGCCCTAACAATGAACTTTCCGTTGGCCCCCTAAAAAACACCGAAGAAACCAATGACAAAACACATACCTATAAATATAATGTTTTGTGTGAGTCGCAGTCGCACCCTGTTTGGGGGGGGGGGGGGGGGGAAATACGGAGCCCAACGGGAAAAAAACATGGAGAAGAATTCAGAATCCCCTTTTTTGTGACAAACGTCCACGATATCTGCGGCTCCAATCGGTTCGCCTTCGTGATCCGCTTTGCAGCGCGCTCCTCGCTGCCTGGCCAGAAAAAACACGAGCCGCAGGCGCTCCGCGCATTGCGTCTGCTCCGGGGATTTGTTCTGAAACAAATATGTGCGCGCATGTGCGCATGTATATATATATGTATACATATATATATATATATATGGCAGGTCTTGCCATGTGTACGCAAGCTTAAAACATAGCTCAGACACATCGTATCCCGAAAACCCCTTGACAGGGAAGTCGTGCTTCTTGAAGCTCGTCTGACATCCCAACGCAGTTGCAGGCGCTCCGTCTTCTTTCAATCACAAGCCTCTGCTCTGCAAGCTCAGCTTGATCGACCGTGACTTTGGCATAGGTCACAGCCCGGACGCGCGCCACGCTGCAAAGGGTTTGCTTTGGGCAGCTGGGCCCGCCCACGGCGAGAAGAGTGCGCGGCAGGCAATGTCTTCGCGACATGTGGCCAGGTTGGATTTCTGACGCGCTGCGCAACGTGGCGGTTGCAGCACAGAAACAGGTTCACGCTGCAGTCTCGAAGAAGCCTTCGTCTTCTTCCGCTTCCTCTTCTTCTGGCACTTCTTTAAATGGCGCTGGGCCACCGCATGAGCGAGCTCCAATTCCGCGGTCGCACGCCGGGCATGCGCCGGCGTGTCGTTGCCCAGACATCCCTTCTTTTCTGCCCCCCCAAACCCCGACCCGTCTTTGCGAGCTGCGTTGAGGGGCGAATGGCTGAGCGCGCCGAACTCTTTAACTTGGCCTTCTTGCAGCGCGGCGCGTGTCGCAGAGGGGCTGATTCACTGCAGGGCATGCCCAAGTTGGAGTAGAGCAAGAATGGGCTGGGACTTGTGAAAGCAAAGCGCGGCGCCGTCCACTGGACCTTGCCCGCGCAAGCCTGAATGACCAAGCCGTCCTTGCGCAGCGCGACCTCGAGCATCGCTGGGGCTGGTTCCGGCCCGGGCCCACCACGCGCATCCCTGGGCTAAGTACGCCGCGCGCGCTCTCTCCAACGCAGCGAGCCACATGTCGAGGCGAGAGCGTCTCAACGTCAGCAGCGTCATCCGAAGACTCACGACAAGGGTCAGCCCAGGCGCCACTCAAGGAAGTAGAGCTTGTTGCGCAAACTCCAGATCTGCCACGGCAGCTTGCTTTCAGGAAACCTGCCACGCAGACTGTTTTCGTTGGGCGCAAAGGCAAAGGAGTTCCTCCGCACCATTCCACACTCTTCTCCGGGGTGTTCTGCACTTGCTGCAAACTCTGTAGTGACTCGGAGCATGGGCATCTGCCAAGAGCACCCCCCCTTCTCTTGTAAGCTTCAGTGCGAAGCAGCAACGCGCATCAAGAGGACAAGGCGCAATGACTTGCAATCATCTTCATTGCAACCTGCCTCAAAGCGGCCAGCGCCTCCAAGACATGCAAATGACCAGCGTTACGCAGACGGAGACGGTGAAGGCTCGCCAGGTTGCGCGCAAGCCGGCTCCGCTCCCAACTTACGAAGCTTTGCCCTCAGCTGCGCTGCGAAAGCGCTGGCTGGGCGTTGAGCAGCATCTGGCTTCCAGCAAGCACCCCGATCCACCAGGGCTTTGCTGCCTGCTGTTCGGATCTGACACTTGTTGCTGGGGAAGAGTCACCACAGGCGTGGCTCGAGCGCTTCAGCCGGCGTCATTGAGCGTAGCCACCATGATTCAGCGCCCGCAGAAACACAAAAATTTCGGGCAATGAGACAGGGTGGCTGCGGCGATGCTGTCAGGTCAATCATGAATGCAGCGTGCATCCATCCCGCCTCATGCACAACACGAAGCAACTGATATGTGCAGCAGCTTTGGGATTCTCAGGACTCATTGGCTTATTTATTCATATTGATATTGTTTCATGCATGTTGTTGAATACATTTGGGGATGTATCTATGTATTTACAGATGCTCGTCCCCTCCCTTCATGATCCACACCTGGCCTGTGTCTATGGCTCAGGTACAATCGTGAGGCATTTTGGTTGTGCTTGAAAGCCCATTTTCGAAAGGCGAACCAACTCACAGGTCATGGCTGACACCTGGAGTCACTCAGGCATCGCGGAAAATTCGGTAGGCCTGACTCACTTGGCCCAAGCTTTGAGCACTTTGCATGTGAAAACAGAAGGCCAAGGTGCATGTCACTTTCATTGCGTACTGTGGGACAGGCCAAACCATTTTCCCATTTCCCTTGCACTGGGCCTGATGGACTTCAACCAGGTCGACAAAAGAAGCATTTCACAGATAGACGATGCCACTGCTTCCTTCGTGGACGCAAACACAATTTGAGCTTGGCTTCCTATGGCAGGTTGCCCAGACTGAGGTGCCCAAGCCACAAGCTGCCCAACCCCGCACACCCCACACCCCAGTTAAAATAAGCTCAGGTGATATCCCCAACAGCATGCGGTGCTCTTTTTAGTGCTCGCACCACCCCGTAGCCCTCGCAGAACCTCGTGGAACCCTCGTGGAATTTTGGTTGAACCCTTGTGGAACCTTTCCTCAGGGCCGCCCCGAACCACCATCTAGGCTGAGACCCCAAGGCTTTCAGCTGTTGGGGGGAGAAAAAAAGAAAACGACCCACATCCGCCCCAGGCAAATCAAACACCCTCCATCAAGACCCCTCCATCCGTGACGCGACGCCTCCGGCGGCATCGCCCTCGCACTTCCAGCGCTGGCAGCGCCAGACCAGGCCAAAGGAGCCCTCCCCCAGCGGCTCGTCGCCCAGCAGCTTGTACACCGACTGCGGTTCGAGCGGAGCGGAGCGGAGAGCAGCGCGTTGGTTTCGGAAGGCAATGGAGACCAAGGGCCAGAGCCCGAAAAGGAAAAGCAGGCCTGTGAAGTACAAGATGCAAAAAAAGCCCACAGGTGAAATCAGGAAATCATGTTAACACCATACACAGGCCACCTCCAAGGTCCCTCCTTGTTGTCTGGCCCTCATTGTGCGGGTTCCCCCTGTGCAAGCACTGGACACATTCATGTCTCACCTGCCGCCGGCACATGCCACAAACAGACAAGCTGGTGGCTTAGAGTCCAGCTTGCGGTTTAGTCAAATTAACCCCAACAAGGAAAAAGGACAGTCGGAGGAATCTTCCTTCGACTGGAAATGTTGGATGATTCGACAACTATTGAAGGCTTGCGGGGTGTTAACCTGCACCAGCATTGCAATCCTGTCATCCATTTCAGTGTCTTCGGACATGCAAAGATTCTTCGCCAAGGAGATGTCGGTGACAGCCTCAAAGGTGCGGGCGTCCGCCTCCTCCTTCTCCTCCCCTGAACGGCGTCAGGCTGGTCACACCGTTTCTGCGTTTATACCAAGTATTCAAACCACCGTGGCCATTTGGTCCACATGATTCCTTTCGGTGCAGCCCAAGGCAACCAAAATGGGGACAGCCTAGGTGCTCATTCGGGTGGATGAAATCTCGGAGAGAGACACGGGTCCTCAGACAAGTGAATGAGCTGGTATCTTGCCATCACCGCAAAGGGGGTACGCAAAACAGCCCTTGCACGCCCACCCGACGTGGCTGGTGCAAATAACCACGTCCGCGTCAAGAAAAGCTGCGCCTTTCAACCACGCCCATCCTGACTGCGAATCATGCGATGCACACGCTTCCAAGCTGGCCGTCAACAAAATGTCCACAACGCTCGCTCAATGACACCCAAACAAAACAAGCCTTATTTCTGCTAAGGCAACGGACATTCGGCGGGAAGATTGGTGTACCAAAGCTGTTTGCTTGGAGCAAGACGGCTTATAGCCAACTGAGTGGCATAGTGACACGACGAAACTCTGAGCCGTGTGATTCTTTTTGAGCGGAAGAACACGCTTCCGCTGGAGCCCGTTGTCTCATGGCCCAAGCCTCTCTCTTCGACATTCCACAGGGGCATGCAGGTGAATCCACTAGAGCATGAAGCGCGATTGAGAGTGCCACAGTCAAGCAAACTTTCATGCGTCTTCCCCAAAACAGCCCTCTGCCCTTCGGACCAGGCCTTCGGGCAGTGTTACACTGGCCTCCCTTTGCAGCAGCGCCTGGCTGGAGTCCTGCCGGCCGAAAAAGACCTCGAGGTCCTTTGGGAAAAATCGACACTGGACTGAAACAAACTGAAACCGGTAACCGGTACCATCTACGTCCAATCCAAACAAATCTAAGAAGAACCTATTGCTTCCCGAAGTTGCGGAGGTCTAGCACTTTCATAGCGCCAGGATTGTAGCAGACTCGATGCCCTGACTCGCTGCCTAGCATGTCCTGTTGTCATTCTCAGGCCAAGATTGTCTAAAGTCCTCACCAAGCCAGCCAGGCTAGCAGACCCAACCAAATCCTTACCCTATTTCTTGTTCGGAAGGCCTGGCTCTCATCATGTGTATATATATATACATATATATATATACACACATGCGCTCATGCGCACAAACGCACGCACGTACGCTCAGGCTACCACAGTAACACGTTCGGATTTGACAGACTCTGGAAGCTTGCTAACCATCACATGGCACCTCCTTGGATATAACTGTTCAGCAAAATGCAAATATTCGAGCGAGAATCAACAGAATTGGTCGTATATATTATGGCTGTGTTTAGTTTGATTAACAAAAAATCCAGTGCCTCCGCAGCTGCCTGCCCCCCGCCCGCTCCCGGCGCAGGTTCGAGGCTTGCGCACAAAGAATGGAGGCGCTCGCCTGCGCAAAGACCAGGGGGGTTGTCAAACCGTTTATTCGCTCTTGAAAGCAACGCAACCTGTCCCGTTCCAACTTTCGTCATAAGGCTTGTGGAGCTCTTTTTACGGGTTTTGGCGCTGAATGCTCCGGCTTGTAGTGCTTCTTGGGGCGCCTTGGGGACTCCCTGGGACAAACCTTCAAACAAGTCAAAACACCGAGCAAAATAATCGAGTGTATGTCGCAGGCAAAAAAGCAGCGTCAAATATATTGTTCTGGAATCGCGTTCATCCCACAGAAGCAAGGTGGCTTGACCAACCAGCCAATTCAGCTGAAAGATTAGCGTTGCCCATATCATTAGCCTTGACATTTTGCCGACGTCCAAACTGGCATGGGATAGCTTCCGTAAAAGCAGAAAAGGGAACTGCCAGTCGGAAGAACCAAACTGGCTGGCCATGAGCGACCCCGGCACCTGAGTTCCTCATCAAAAGAAAGCAGAGCATCCCCAGAGATGCGGGGAGAACGCCCAGAAGCTGGATGGCCCGGCCACCGTTTTGGGGCGAGCAACAGCAAAACCAAAGAAAACAATTGGAACGAAGCAGCCTACGGTTTGCTTTGGGAAGCTTTCATGATGGTGGGCAATTCCGAAATTCAGGGCCCCTCCAACAAGCCCGTCTGGTTGCTGGTTCTATCGGCAACCAAGGCGCGACCTCCGACCCCCTTCAAAGAGCAGCTGACCGCTTGGACGACGAGGCTCTTGCAAAGGTAAAGCTCTGCTGTTCAGGAAACACCAGCAAGGGGGGGGTGCTCCGTTCGTACCCTTCCCACCTCCCGCAGCAGCTTCGTGTTGTGAACGGGCTGTGACTCAGCAGGAGGCTCCTCCTGCAGCTCCTGCGACATGGGGACGGAAAATTCCCGAACTCCCAGCCGGCCGCCGAAGCACTGCCGACTGGCTGATTGTGTCAATGGCATCTTGAGTTGAACCACTGGTGGACGGTCAGGACGCCCTTGCGTGTTGAGTTTGATTGTTTATTATCATTGTTGTTAGTAGTATTACTATTACTAGTATAACTATCATTACTGTCACTGTTAGTATTGTTATCAGAATTAGTTTTATTGGAATTATGATTGTTGTTACTTATTATTATTATTACTATTACTATGATGTTTTTATTATCAGTATTATTATTATTATTGTCATGATTGATGTATTAATTGTATTATTACTAGTGTCATTGTTGCTGTTATTGTTATTGCTATCATCATTGGTGTTATCATTACTATTACTATTATGTGTATTAGTATCAGAACTATTACTAGCATTATGATTATGATTATGATTGCTATGACTACTATTAGTATTATTAGCATTATCGTTATTATCATTATCATTATCATTACTTCTGTTCATTAGTACCATTATTGTTGTGATCATCATTATTATTCATGTGTTAGTCGTATTATCATTATCATTGTTCTTGCTAGCATTATCATTATCATTGTCATTGTTATTGTGATGAATGTTATTATTAGTATCAGTATTATCATTAGTATTGCTATTATTGTTATTGTTATTCTTATTATTATTCTTATTATTATCAATAGTATTACTAGTCTTATTGTTTTATTTGTATTATCATTTTATTATTAGGATAATAATTATGTTTCTTTACTAATTTTATTAATATTACTATTAGTATCAGTACTAGCGCATTAGTATTAGTACTATCAGCATTATTTGTTTAAGGTGTGGGACCTGTGCATTTCCATGGAACATGACAGACGGTTACTTGATTTTTGATCTTGCACCCCCTGTCGCGAGTCCTCCTCAGTGGTCACGCTGGTGAACTCTGACTCTGACGCCGGAGCTTCAACCTGAGTGGCACTGCCTTGCCTAGTGGTCCTTCACGTGAATGAACTTGGGTGTCTTTTTCTGGGGGCGAGGGTCCCCTCTTTTTCTGTCCTTTTTTTGTTGGGGGGGCGACTTCCTTTTGGTTGGTGATGGAAAACAAATACCAACCAGTTTGGGGCCACCCAGTTTGAAGATACACATCCTTCTAGAGAAATTGGGCCCAATTGCAGAAGCCCTCTTCCAAACATCACAGAAGCCTTGGCTATTCCTTAAGGTCTTAAAGATCTAGGCTCCAAACTCATGCCTTCCTTGTGGCCTCCAAAAACAAACGCCACAGAGCCACAAAGGGGCCTCACGTTATACGTCCGCACCCGTCGCCCGGCCTCCGCTTCTTTCGCCCCCAAATATGCCGAGCTGAGGCTCCTGCGCGGCAAGACGCGACGGCTCAGAACCGACGCGTGGAAGCCATAGGGGTCCTTTTTGGGAAAATAGAATGCTCTGGTAGTTGATTGAACCAGCAGGTAAACCAGATCAACCAAATCAACCAAAAAGGACACCTATGCTGGAAGCGGCTCGGAACGCCGAACCCCCGGCCTCGCTGCAGCTGCTGCTTCGGGGGCTGTGGGCAACTTGCCTGCAGTGGAGACGGATCACAAGATCTTGGCCGGGAGCCAGACAGAAAAGGACGAAACCAAAAGCCCCCTGAACATACCAATCTACCGTTCAGCGGCAACACTGTCAGGTTTCAGGAAGGGTACCATATTGCGTGCTGAGGCGCTGGTCTGGAGAATGTCATCATTTCTCGCTCGAGGCCAGAATGTATCACCGAAAAACATTCCTGAACTCCAAGAACTCTGGATCAGTGGATCATTGTTTATACAAGATTCAACCTGCTGCAAAAGGCTGGCAAGCCCCCTAATCGCGGGCGTATCCGAAGGTTGATGGAATCAGACCTCCAGTGTCGTGCCAATCCAAACAGAGCAAGCGGAGAGCTGATGCAAAGGAGTCTGTCCGATGCCAGAATTACCCTTCAAATCTCTTCATTCCTGCGAAGCTTGCAATTTTTCGAGCTTCAAAGAGCTTGCAGGCACGAATCAGCCTGAAACCGCAAACCCACCCGTCACACCCTCGGCCTGAGTCAGTGTGAAGCCGCTGTGTGGGCGTGAAGAGATTCTCTGAAACGTGGGGGGCCTGCACAAAACTACTCAAACACAGGCCTCAAAATGCTAAGCAAAACCTGAGCCACAGACATGTGTTTTGTCATCAAGGGGGCATGGGAAAATTGGCCTCCTGTGCCGAATGGACTGACAGGCGTTTCAGTGCATGCTCTTTCGTTGCATAAGCAGCTGCGAAGCACATCCTTGCCACGGGGGGGGGGGGGGGGGGGAGGGAGACTCGAGAGGTTCGCAGTGCATGTGCGCCACAAGGAACCGCTGGATCTCAACACTCCGCGCATCGGGCTCTCCTGGACATCGGACTCTGAAGATTCCAAGTTCAGCTGCTTTCGGCCTCGCCCAAATCAAGGAAGTCGACGTTTTGCTAGCGAACTCTTCAAACAACCCGGGGCTGAGTGGGAAAAGCTAGCTGAGTGCTTGATTCTCAGGGCGACAAAAAGCCAAGAGCGAGGCATCCAAAGGGGGGAAGAAAGGGTACACTCAAGGAATGTACCTGCACCATTGGGAACAGAACTCTGGGCTGCTCAAGAGAGTAAGGCCCGGGCCGTCGAAACTTCCCTTCCGCGAGCCAGGCCTCCGGCGCGCGGGAGGGAGAAAGGGCCATTGGTTTCTGATGTTGCTGCACGAGTTGCATGGCTTGTGCGCGCGCGTGGTTGCGCAAGTACTTTGGAGGCAGAGCTCGGGGTTCAAGATGTTCGTGTTTTCGGGTGCAAACACCTGCATGCTTCAGCTCTGGTGCGGATGTTTATGCCCAGAGGAAACCGGACATTTTGGGGGCCTGGGGTTCTGTGGGACGGGGTTGGTAGTAATTTACGTTTGTATTGGTTAACCCTAATACAATGATCATCTGTGTTTCTCTTCGTGGCCTTCGCCTGTGACAGGCAACAATATGCTGATCATTGGCATCCCTGCCGTGCACACACAAACAAACAAACAAACAGAGTTCCTCTGAGAAAGTTTTCCAAGCCAGTTCTTGGCAAATTTTATCTGAGCAAATTCTCTCAGCCAGTTACTCCGAGTAAGTTTTCATGAGCAAGTTCTCTGAGCAAGTTCTCTGCGCGCAGCGCGGACTACGACACAGCAACCATTGCTAGCACAACTGTCAATCCGGACCTGCGAAAGTGCGCTTTGCGTGATACGTCGCTGTTAAGCGTTGCGATCTGCTAAGATTCTGAAAGTGTACTTCCCAGGCTACTTTCGTAGAACGTTGCGCATGTTTAACTTAGAAGCTGCGGAGACGAAGCAGGATGGGCCACTCACACTCCAAGAGCAGGCGCGCGAACCACGAGACAAACTTTCAAGCCTGCGTTCCGACAAGAAAAACAGCGTTTTCCTAGCATTTCATGCGATCGACCACGCCAGAGGGTCATGTGCGAGCCACAAAAGCAAAAAAGTCCGCGAACAAAGCGAAGTTGAAAAAGTCCTGTTTTTTGACATCGACCACGCCAATCCCCAGAGGGTCGCAGTGGGCATGCTACAAAGCTGCAGAAGTCCCGGTTTTTAAATCGACCACGCCAATCGCCGCAGAGAGTGACGGGAGAGCCGCAGAAACCACAAAAGTCCTCAATTGATTGACATTGACCACGCTGATCTCCGCAGACTTTTCGATCCCGCCGCCTGCAAAGAGTAACTTCTACTTGCCGTTCTTCACGTTTCCTCTTTCACGCGCGAACGCACAAGAATATTAGCAAGCATAAGAATGTTAGCAAAGATAGTTTTCTAGCGTAAGACACTGAGCCTCTCATGCCAACTTGCTGATGTAGCTTGCGAAAGCAAGCTCTTATGCAACTTGCCCCCATGCAGCTGCCTAGTGCAACTTGCCAGTGCAACTCGCTACTGCAACTTGCTAGCGCTATCTTGCTAGTGCCATCTTGCTAGGGCTACCTTGCGAGTGCCACTCCCTAGTGCATCTTGCTAATGCAACTTGCTAGTGCAACTCGCTAGTCCAAGTAGCTAATGCAACTCGCTAGTGCTATTTGCTACTGCTACTTGCTCGTGCTACTTGCTGGTGTAATCCGCTCCAGGTTTTTCCTGAAGAACCCTTCGCAATGCTTTCGGGAACAAACAAACAAACAAACAAACAAACGAACAAGCAGGTAGATAGATAGACAGACAATCAAATATAGACAAACAAACAAACAAATAGACAAGCAAACAACAAATAAACAACCAAACAAACTCTGGACAAACAATCAAGCAACCCAAGAAAGCAAGAAAGCAAGCAAGAAACCAACCAAAGCAAGCAAGCAAGCAAGCCAGCAAGCAAGCAAGCAAGCAAGCAAGCAAGCAAGAAAGCAAGAAAGCAAGAAAGCAATAAAGCAATAAAGCAATAAAACCAACAAAACAAACAAACAAACAAACAAACAAACAAAAAACACAGCACAAAACAAAACAGAACGGAGCAAGCAAGCAAGCAAACAAACCAAAACAAGACAAAGCAAAACACGCCACAACGAAACAACAACAAACAAACAAACAAACAAACAAACAAACAAACAAACAAACAAACAAACAAACAAACAAACAAAGCAAACCAGCCAACAAACCAAATAAATAAGCAAACAAACAAGCCAAACAAACCAAGCAACACAAACAATGCTGGCTGCTCGAATTTGTGTGTGTGTTTTTGTGCGTGTGTGTGTGTGTGTGTGTGTCTGTCAGTGAATTCTTGAAACAAATCGCGGCTATGGCTTACACCAAAACCAACCCTAAACCAACCCTAAACCGACCCTAAGCCAACCCTACCCTAAACCAACCCTAAACCGACCTTAAACCAACCCCAAATGAACCCTCCGGAACCAACCCAACCCAAAACCAACCCGACACCAACCCTAAGCCGACCCGAATCGCCGAACGTGGTTTCCGAATCGCTCTGTTTTTTGGCTTCTGAAGCGCCGTTTTGCAGTTTCTGAATCGCCGTTTTTTGGTTTCCGAATCGGAGTTTGTTCGGACTTGCTAGGTTGCTTCAAGTTTCACACAGGCGCATATAGGTGCGTCTTAAAATGGGGGGTGCCGAAAAAATGGCTGGCTTCCCGTTGGTTTCCCTTTAAAACCACCCAAAGGGAGTACCCTCAAAAAAGGGGACATATTGACCCTCTGCCCATGTCAGAGCAATCCAGGTTGCAGCCTTCAAAAGCAAACCCGGATGGATCTCACCCAAAGAAGTGCGTCACATGGACCACTGAACATGAAAAGTGAATGGCTGTGCAAGTCTCCAACAAAACCATATTGCAACACTCTGAGTTGTACTGCCTTTGAGTGCTCGACTTTCTCCCGTATTTGAACCAAGGCTGGTTGATGTATGTGGCGCCCTTGGTTTGATGTGGACGCTCTGTTTGGGTCTCCCGGGCCGGAGTCACCACTATCAGCCCCCCCACCCACCCCCACCCCCCCAGCTACAGGCGCCAGGTTTTTGCCCGAGGCCCCGGCCGGACCTTGATCTCCCCCGGGCAATTCCACAGACGATCCGTGACCACCCAAAGGCCACTCGCTGGCGTGTTCACACAGCGATTGGGGATGTCCTCCTGCAACAGTGGCGAAAAAGGGAAGCTCTGAGTGAAAAGCTAGTTTGGGCTGAGTCACAATCAAAACCCGGCACAAAACTGGTCGACCCAGAACCATGCCAAGAACTAAGAAGGCGGCCGCAGCTATTTATGGCGGGGACCGTCCCTTACTAACCTTCATCTTACCCGGGTTTTGAGCAAGTGGCTCTAAGCGAGAAGGGGTGCAACCTCTTCATTGCTCACGGCTCCTCCCAAAGGAAGCCACCACCGATTTGTCGCTTGTCCCGGATGTACTTGTACTCCAAGCGCCTGGGCATCTGATCCGTCGCCCCGGACAAACTGGCTAGCCTCCCTCGTGTGTGGCAACTTGGGTTGGCCCAAAAACCAACAGACTACTGAGAACGAGCCAGCCACTTGCGCCACTTGTGGCGGGCACCAAGCAAAGCTCCAGTTTGAGGTGTCCACCATGATGGGTGGACAGGACAAAGCAGTGACACAGAGCCTGTCCCAGTGAGCCACGGAAGTTTAATCTCAGTCGCACTCGATTGGTTGTCATCATTATAGAGTTCTACACACATGACAATGATGCTCATGCCATTCAAGCCGGAGCCCTTTTTGCTGGGACCTGTGGCTGAGTGCAACCTGCCGCAATCCACAGATCCGGGCTGCCAAACAGCAAGCCAAACATCCGCCCAGGTCGACGCTCGATTCTGCCGAGGCGCTTTCGGCCCGGCTTCGGGCGAAGCCAAACCTCAGTTATGGCTTAAAATATTGGAGAGAAGTTGCGGTTGGCGCCCTTTGCTGGATTTTAAGGTGGGACCCCATTGGAGTCAATGCAACGCCTTGTTGGCTGGATCCTAACAAGGTGGGACCCCATCAACCATTGGAGCCCATGAAAACGGCTTGTATCTGGGTGACATCCATGGTAGATGTTGCGTCAAAACCGCTGCCTGGATGGGAGCTAGCTGAACTAGATTGCTCAAACACAACCCGTCAGAGACTAGGACGTGTTGCTGTTTCATGCAAGTAAGCGGGAGCAGGAGCAGGAGCCAGAGCTAAAGGGATACAGGATCGAAGGCAAAAGCGGCATTTCTAGCACCAGTCAAGCGAGTGTGAAGGATTGGTGGACGAAAGATGGGCAAAACTCTCAGGCGCAGGTTAAACAAAGTGTGGAAAATCCTGCGATTCGGCTCCAGTGATCAAGCACATTGCACATGGGTTTGTCTGTAAATGATTGGGACGCCCTCAAAAAAGGAAATTATACGGATGTGTCCCATGTGGCTTCCACCTCGAAGGAACATCTCGTTCTTTCAACAATCATTTGTCCTGCCCAGAACACGGTGCCACCTGCTAAACGCTGAGATGGGCATGGCCGGGATCGCGCAGCTTCCGGGCAAAAGCCTCTACCGGTTGTGGCTAGAACGCGTGACGCTCAGCGCAAGGCCGGCTCAGTCGACCAGAAGGGGTAGCTCTTGCCCTGAGCAGTCGGTTGGCGGAAAGCTTGCATGCCCATCTGCTTTCACCGCATGTCAGTGAAAGCGTATCTTGTTCATCCCTCAAGAATGGTACCGTTTTGATTTCTTGAGCAAGTTGTTGAGGGCACAGTTCCACCAGCTCAAGTGCATCCAGCATGAGACTCATGTGAATCAATTTAATTTGGCCAAGTATAGTGGCAAAAAGCTGATGACAAAGTGGTGCAATAAATCAACTGGGTTCCTGCTGTTTGCGGTCGTGCCTGAAACCAAACTGGGCAAGCAGAGCGCTAACCCAGCCGCCCTCGGCAACATCGGTCCCGGCCGTGTGTGCGCCCCCGAGGACCGCGCATCCGTGAGGAGAGGTACCGACTTCTCAGGGTTCCATCGCCCCAACTCCTCCGCCTGGACGTGACGTGAAAGTCTATCGGGCAACCGCCACAATTTCTCCGGGCTTCGAAGCAACAAAAGGTTTGCCAGTAGCGCATGGGCAGCGGTCACAACCAGTCATGCCACCATCAAAGCCGGGAAAAGTGTGCTTCACTGAATGAGGATGGGGGTGGAAACTCTGTCTTTCTTGCTGCCTGCAATGTCTTCCTGCTTGCAGTTTGCCGTGCTCTGAGAAACTGCTGCCACATGGAACAAACCATGATAGGCGCCGCCTGGAGCGGTGCAGCGCGTTTGGCCCAAGTTGATCAGCCATTTATTGGGCGATGTGGGTCTGTCTGTGGGTTTTAAAGGGAGACTAACGCGGAAAAACTTTGGGGGGGGGGGTCCCCTAAACAAACGACACACCCATCTGCTTCCTTCTCGCGGGGCCAACAGAAATCCCACGTCCAGCCGCCATGGCGATGTTGCCGCCTCACCAACCACGCGGATGATCTCGCCAAGCCTGCGCGCTTGGCCCCGGAGTGATCAAAACGGGGCGGGTTGTTAGACCCACCGAACTGGCAGCCACCCAAACAAGGCTGCCCTCAGAAGGAGAGTGATAAAGGCACAAACCCAAACTCGACGTTCACGACATGGAAAAGCACCGGGCATTTGTGCAAGCATGGATTCCTGTCCATGGCAAAGTGGGCCTTGCTGTGATCAGGTCGCCAAACAAGTACTTCGCTTCAAACAAACACGAGTAGAAACTCATCAATGAGGAAGCAGTGAGCCAACACAGCTGAGTTCGGTCTGAGGAAAAACTCTTGCTCGGTGTTTTTTGAGCATCTCCTGTTCCAGAAATCACAATTTCAATGACCGTAGCCATTTCTGGCCTTGCCTCCGAAATGACATCCGTAGGTTCCCTTGAACCAGACATCATTAAGGGCTTAAGGATACGTCCTTGAACCATGCCCAGCAGCACAAAGCATCCCGCCCGATCTCTGGGGTAGCGGCTGGGTATTGGCGGAAATGCCAAAAACAAGGCCTACCTGGGCGGGGCCGCAAAGCCGAGTTGGGTGGCCCGAAATTGCTGGCTCATCCAAGTTGCCGCGACAAAACTAGGATCCCTGTGTTAGTCTATGTTAAAAAGAAACCAGTCATGCACGTGTGTCCTTCCTTTTGACACAGTCCCAATTCTTTGCTATGCCTTTGCGAAATGATGACAATCCGTCCAAACCACAGCCGAGAACTGTCACAGGGTGAATACTTTGGGGCCCGAAGCCACGGGAGGCTTCAGCGTAGCAAGCAAAAAAATGCTAAACATATTCACCTGCAAAACCGCGCGCAGAAGCGGACGGCAATGCTTCTTTGGAGTGTCTGGCTGAGCCAGAAAAGGCAACCGTCAACCAAAACATGGCATGGCCACAGCATAGCTCCAGCTTTGTTCGACCCACCCAGTCAACAAGGATGCGTTACAGTTTGGCCGGATCACGGGTGTGGATCAAGAAAAGTAGCCAGGGAGTTGAGATGCCATCGCAACATCAGTCAGGCATCCCGCCATGCGCGAGGCGGGCTCGATCACTCTCACCCTGCCTTCTTGTCGTCCTCCGGCATAATTGGTCAGCGTTCCCAGTGGGAGGAAGCTGCAAAACGGGCGGCAGTTCAAAGCCACCCTCAAACCAAATCTTGGTGACTCCAGTTCAGAAATGCGTGTCATCTAGAAATGCGATGCGTGAAAGGGGTAAGAAGAATTGACTCTGGCCATGGCTGAAACGACTGCGGGTCGGGAGCACTGACGCATCTGCACATGTGGTCGGAAACAGTGCGCTCAAAGCAGCAATGGTCAAGCTCATGCCTGCCTTCAGCCTGACATTTCTTCAGTCTGAACAACCAGAAAAGAGTGGCAACTGTCAAGCAATCTTCGGCACACATCCCTGGAAATCGGCACATTGTGGCCTGGCAGTGCGGGTCCGGATCGCTCCAGCGCTGGAGTTCGAGCAATCAGAACTATACCAGAAAATTTGTGGAGACATGAGTCACCCAGAGGCAAAATGTGATCAAGCATAGAGTAACCACGTAGTTCACGAAGCCCCAGGTGGGAAATCTAAAGCCTCATGGAGAAAAACGTCGGGCGGGGCCAGATCGCGCGAGCAGGCAGCAATCTGCGAGAGGGTTGTGTTTCCCGGGGCAGCCTGATTCCCACCGTCTTTGCGGGGAGTCCAGTGTGCCACACAGCAAATTGGAGAGGGTGACACTGGGACCGTGCGTTTGGCTGATGTGAGCCTTTTTGTCCCACACCAAGACCACGCATTCGAGTGGTGCTCCTAACCAAGTGAGTGGACTGAGTATTCAGCTGATGCAAGCAAAGGCGTTGATGCCTGGCAGCTCACTCTGCAAAATACGCTACACGTCAGCATTTGCTCAGGGTGGCTCAAAGGCGAGTCCTCGGTACACTCAGAGGCCATTTTGAAAGAATTCAAGAATGAAAGAGTACGTGGCACACAGGTCACGAATGAGCATCGCTCGATCCATCTGATTGGTTCCCTGCAAGCGGGGAAAAAATGACACTCTCCCTGTGAGTCATTCTAGTTTCTGCAGGCAAACTCGCAATCTCTGGGGCTGCTCAATGCTTTCATTGAGCACCTACCTCCACACTTGAGCAACCTGGGGCATGGGCGCATAGGCGCGACCCGCTAGAGCTCCTCCTGCATCACCTTCCATGTTTCGCTGGAAAAGGGTCAAATGATTCGACGCCTTGCAGCCAAAGAAAACCCTTAAAGGCCTCACAAGGACTCGCAAATCCTCTGGAATATATGCCTCCCAGCCAAAACAAAAGCAGTCCTTCCCAGCCTGTTGCTTTTCACGGCCTCTTGCCGCTTGTGAGAACCCCGGATATAGTTTGGCCTTTGGTAGCCTTGAACACTGCTCCGAGCTCTTTACATAGGCCTGCTGCATCTCCAGGAGAAAGTCAGGCTGCTTTTGGTCAGCCCGTTTTGTTTCTGGAGAAAAGCCGTGGAACCTACAGCCCTCCACCCTTGCACGAGATGTGAACACCTCAGGCAAGGAAACAAATGGGGCCGGATGATGGGTGTACTAGACCGCACCCTATCAACAGCCTCTTAATCAACCAGAGTTCCTTAATCTGAGTTCTCATTGTGTGGTGAACCGCTCCGAGTGTGGTGCGCATCAGACTCACCCAGGCTAACCAGACTCCGCCCATGAAAAAATAAATAATAATAATAATAATAATAATAATAATAATAATAATAATAATAATAATAATAATAATAATTATTATAAAAAAAAAGACCCCCGCCGCGTAGAAGTCATCCCCCGTGATGCTCACGGGTACCGCAGGCTCCTGTGCAAGTGTCATTGAATGGAAACCGAAAGGAGAACCGCCATTTCTCGGCCCCCCAATTTTGACTCGCACCCGTGTTCAGCAATGCCAACTCGCACCAAACACCTGACATCTTGGCCTTTCCACGAGCAGGGCTCCCTCTCTCTCTCCCTCTCTTTTTTCTCCCTCTCTCTCTCTCTCTCTCTCTCTCTCTCTCTCTCTCTCTGTCCTCTATATCTATGTGTATAGCATAGTGGTCTGCAGAATTATATTTTCTGCAAGAAGGGCACTCAAAGCAGGCCCGGCTCCTTCGATGATCGATTCTGACGCTTCTCCTTGGCATGCTTCTTCAGGTCTTCCTGTCAATGCCGGATGTCCCTCACCCATTTTCTAATGGGCCTTTTTCTATCAGGCCGCCTTCACACGAAGTAGCGTCATCAAGAAGTTGACACCTCGGACCCTGATGTCCTATTGTCTACCCTATCCACCAGGCCCCTGCATCTTTGCTCAACAGACCTCAGTAGAAGCGCGGCCTGCTGGACATGGGGGGAAGCAAAAAACAATGTAGGTATCTTGCGCAGCAGCACACACCGACACGGACACTCTCCTGCAAAGTCCCAGCAACAGAAAGGTGGGATTCGCAAACAAGGACCTTGGCAGTCCTTGTGTAAGAGCTGTCTGATCCACCGCCCCCGACTCTTTGTGCAAGACCCCAGCCAGCCCCGAGTTGGACCCGTGTCACGCGAGAGCGAGCTGGCCTGCTTAGGGGGACTGAATACCCATCAGGACCCGACCCCAAATTTGGGGCACCTCATCTCAAGCGCTGGCAAAGGGCGCAATGCAAAGGTTTTGGCCACGACTATCCGGCACGCGGCCATGCAGCTGTGCCTGATACGTCCTGTTGAACAGCTTGATCATCTCCTGAGCAAAACCAGTCCACCAAACCAGCCCTGACCCAACGCCATTCACACTACCCGGCGGGGCCACGGGGGCAGGGGGGGGTTGACCCAATCCCTTCCCAACTAAATTCTCTGCCCAAACCTGCGGGGCAGCCAAGCACTGTCCGACTAAAGGCAGCCTTTGCCAACCAAACATGGCGTCTTTTGGGTTCCATGAGAACTCAATACACATAATATGTCAAATATGTGAAAAACGAATAAACTTCGAGCCAGGCTGAGTTGGAACATCTGTCAAGGCTTTTGCAAGGTGGGGAGGGGAAATGTTGCTCGAATGGATAACGGCTTGGCGCTAGGTCAAAGGCTAGAACATCCCACCCCTTGAGACCTCGCCCCCCCCTCTTCAAATCGTCTGGGAGAAAAGAAAGAAAACGCGACAAGGTATGTTGTTCCACGAACTCACACCTACCAAGTAAAATCTGAAGGGCGGGTCCAACTCTTCAAACCTTCGGGCTTTCCATCAGAGCCAAAAAGAGCGGGCAGCATACAGAATCACAGGGTCACGAATCAAAGGCGCTCCGAAGATGCCACAGGTGCAGTGATGTTATGTTCCAAGGTTCGCCTAAATCCGGGCATGTGCATGGCGGTGTAGAAATGAGATTCCTTTGCTCCGATGTTCAAACATCCATTGCATCAATCGTTCAGTCACTTCAACCGTGTCACGCCAGCCGGGCCTCCCGCGCCACAGGTCACTCGACAAACTGCATTAGAGAAGCACTCTATTTGCCCGTTGTTGCAAGATAGCCCTGCTTTCACAGACATGCTTGCCGCATATCCACTGAAACAATTGGGCGCCCACTTTTGTGGATTCGCATTCCAAGAGGTTGAAAACAGGTTAGGGGATTGGAAAAAACAGGGGTGCCTGCAATTTGTTTTTGTTTTGTTGTTTTAAAGCGGCAGTAACCCGCGCCCAAAACAGGGGCTGGCCGTCCTTGATCTCCGACTTGGGAATGTTCTCACCCAGCATGGTGGCCACCTTGCGCCGAATCCGCGGCAAATTGAGGCGGCCAATCCGTGGTGGGCGTTGCTTGAAAATGAGAGCAGGCAAGCCCAACGGCCTCTCCCAGGCCCCAGGCAAGAAAACACTAATTATTGGCGACGTGGGGAACAGCAACAGCTGCTTTATGTAGCTGGTCTTAAGGAGGTCATGTATACCAGCCTGCCCTGATGCCATTGAGCCGGCCCTCCCTTCTCAAATCCATTCACAAGGCTCGCCTGATTGTCGTGTTCAAAAGCGGTCCCTTGAATCCGATGGGCAAACTCTTGCAACTGAAGGCCTCCCAGGATGTCTGACGTGTTTGTGGGCGCCCTAAACACCCCGGCCGCAACCCGCATTTCTCTCGCCTCGTGCAACTCGTCCACGTCCAGGTGCCCATCGCCGTTCTTGTCCATCCGCCGAAAGACCTGGGCCGTTGGAGGACTCGGGCGAAAGATCTGCCCTGGCGACCAAAAACCAAAAGGGTTCCCCGGATAACAAGGCACCGGAGCGGTGCAACCACCTCGCGCCAAGTCAACTGTGTCATGGAACAAAAGGCCCCTGCCTGACACTGCATGGTACAACTCAACAGGGGTCGACACCGCATATTTGACGCCCGTCCAGCTGCATCAGCTCGAGAAATGACTCATTGCTTTGCAGTTTGGGCAGATACGTCGAGTCGCCCTGTAGAAACTTCTCCAGCCCCTCTACCGCTCGCAGAGTTTTTTTGAGCGCTGGGTGGCCAGCAGACATGATCTCCTCTTTGGGGTCGTCCTTCTCGAATTTTTGGGACAGAAGCTGGTAGAACTCCTGGCGCATGAAATGCCTTTTGCCATCTACCCGCATCGTCTGCTGAACAAAGGAATCAATCTTGACTTCCAGCCAGCACAGTGCCGCGGTCACACTTAGTTTGGCTCAGCAACATGTGATCCCGGCATTGCTGCAGCTGGCGAGCAGCAAATCATAGCTATCAATATCATCGATATGTGGCATTTCCTCGAACTTGAAACAAAAGGCACGCCGACGCAACAGAGCATGCCTGCGGCGAGATCATGTAGTCCAAGTCCTGCGATTTTCACGACAAGTTGCTACACTCCGAAAATGTAGCAATAGCGGGAAATCTCAAAGTAAACCTCACGGGTAGTCGGACACGGCAGCTGACTTTTTCTCGTCACAAGCTTTCCTCGCCTCTCAGCTCAGGGGCGGGCATGTTCCAAAGCTCTGGGTCACTCCCCAACACCCAAAACGCCAGCGTCGCCCTTGCGGTTGGGGAAAAGCGAGCGATGCCTGCCGTGCCGAGCGCCTGTGTCGGTCCTTGTCGACGTTGGACATGATCCTGCTAATGGCAGTGTCCAGAAAGCTGGCCTCCACGTTGAAGAGCTTGAACATGCCCTTGAGCTCCTGCGCGAACATGTGTCATCTCAGACACGCGACACGCCTAGATCTTCAAATGCGGACACCTTCAAATGGGTGAGGTTCTGAAGGAGGGGATTCAATAAACCACAAGAACATGGCATCAAATCAGCACAGCACATGAAAGCTTTTCACATCACATCGTATCACAGCACATCACATCACTCCACCTGACAGAGCAGGACCTCACGGCACATCACAGCACATCACAGCACATCAACCCACCTGACCTCATCTCACCGGCGTCTGTCTTCAGTGGAACAGCTTTCTCCAGGTTCCACCCGCCCATCGTCGGGTCACTCCCCACAATCTTTGTCGTTGTGCCCAAGCTTGTCTTGGACAAAACCGTGAAGATGAGCTTGGCAGGCATGGCGGCTTGTTTGCAGGTCGGAAGACCAGTTCACAAGGCTTGAGCATGTCACAGGCTACACTCAGCTGCTATCAGGAAGAGCGCAGGCTCAACTGCCACTTGCCTTTGTGGGAATGTGTTGGCTTCCCTTCTCATCAAGTCTGGATGCGGCACGTGGCAGTCGCCCACATATCGCCAACCCCGGTCCTCGATGTCCACCTGGCCCGAGTTGTCCTTGTCAACGATGCTGAACACTTTGTCCTGGCCAATGGCTCCAAATATTATTCAGCGCCCTGTCTATGTGAAAGCGAGTTGGAACTTCAAGTGCTGCTCACGTCAAAGCGAAAACATAAAGCGAATCTGTGCCTGTGAGTATTCCCTCAGCCTGATGCTCCTTGAGTCTGACCAAACAGAATTGCGTGTGGACAGCCTTTGCGCAAAGCAACCACAGCCAATCAAAACAGTTGCCTCGCAGGTCCGCAGAAGGGCTGAAGCCGACTGCCCCAACAGGCCAGGCTGGCGATAAGACGCCGCTCCTGGCAAGGTTTGCGTAATCAACGTGTTGCCTTCTCGTTGCGCGATGAAGTTCCTATGCAGCCCACATGTTACCATGTTACTTACCATGGGCAGCCAATATCGAGCAAAACTGCATGTTCATCACTCTCACCTTGGCCACTTGAAGAGCCAGCAGCACAAACCCAGCTCGTGTCTGCCGCTCCAAACAGCAAGGGCTTTCAGCTTCCGAACTCTCCAGATTGGGCCTCCTGTAACTGTAACTCAGGTGAAACCTTCGGACATGGAATCAACCTTGGGGTGCAACAAGGCCAAGCCAATTGAATGCACGATGCTGTATGTCACAAATACGCTCCTGCAGATCAACCAGCAACTCAGAAAACCATTGCTGTTAAAATATTGTGGTTTGGGGGGGGGGGGGACCATTTTGGGGATTTTATGTGATCACAACACGTCACACATATGTCAGAAACATTGCAGCCTCTGCCAGAACGCCACCCTGCGAAGTGTTGAAGAGCCGGGAGTGCCTGGAGCGGAAAAAAAAAAGCCATGACCCAAGACCAGTGAATGGCAGACATGTGGGTGAGTCGTTTTTGGGGGGAACCCTGTTTTGCGGTTGGTTCAAAGGCAAACCAAAGGAAAACTGTTGGGGGTCCCCAAAAAAAAACTCCCATGTAGATTGGAATTGATGTTTGGAAGGATGAAGCACATCCATTTGATGTTTTGCTCATCCTTGTACTCTGTGATCACCCTCCTGGGAAGAATGTAGGGTGGGAAACGTGTGGGCATCAGGGATGCGCCATAATGACTCTGTGCTCTTTCTCTGATGAGTCTTCGGGCTGATCAACCGGATCAAGTTGGGAACCATGCGCTGCAAGTAGCATCTGGTTCCGTTTGCAAAGCCGGCGTCTGCCTGAAGGGCCCAGCTTGCAGGTACCTGAGTCCTAATTAGCCTTTGCGTGACATGTCCTGCCAGTTGGGCATCACGACCTTCCTGACTGAAATCATCCCCCAAACCCTGCTTTTTGGACAGACATGGGAAGAAGCAGTTGTGGGGGCATGCTGCTGCATGCTATTTAAGCAAACTAAGAGAACTCCGCCGGTTCAGCGTATCCACGATTCCACTGCGGCCTGCCGCTGCCAATGTTGGACAGGTCCGTAGTGAAGGACACCCCCGCGGAAGCCTGGCATCCCAAAGCCTTCCCATTTCCCAACAGATCCCCATGTTGCAAGCCCTGCGGAAACTGCGCAACGGACGGTTTCAAATCCGCTCCGAAGCACTTACACTCACAGAGCCATGTGAGGCTCAACGGATCCTGCGAAGAATCATTCGAACCCACCCAAGTCGCAGACCTGGTCTGACAAGGGTGAAGCGTGGCTCCCGCACCTCCTGTTTGCCCATCATGATGCCGGGACGATTCCTCCACCGGCTCTCTACAAGTCTGATTTACCGCCGCTGAGACGGCTGCGATAATGTCGATACCAGTATGATTTTGAGTAAAAAGAACAAAAAGGGTCGTGGGTTTGCATGTGTATGTGTGAACGTGTGCACCTTCTGTCCGTACCTTCCGCATGGTGAGACAGCAAGCTGCACGTCAAGTGTCTTCATGCTCTGATTTGTCTGCGCGGCGCGCTGCATCTGAAGCCATGGCAACGTTGGCCAGAACCCATACCATCCACCCGAGCGCACTCTGAGAGACGGAATATCAGCTTGCACGTCTGGTCGTAGCAAGTTTACAGAGACCTGGAGGGATGCTCGGCAAAGTTGGCATGAGGGAGGCGAATGCGAGACCATCCTCCCCGCGGGACCGTCAGGCGTCTCACGCCCCGCTCCCGTTGAGAAACCGGACGAAACGCTGTCGGCTGCCCGGCGTGAACCACTCGGCTCTAGCAGTCGCCTTCTGGCCGCTCAAGCCTGGCGGCGTGATAAAACATGTTCGGGGGGAAGCCTCAAGCCTATGATCCCAAGCTTGTCGCCCAATGTCGCGTAGATCCTCCCTCGCTCTCTCTCTCTCTCTCTCTCTCTCTCTTCCCCGTAGCAAATCTTCCTGCCCTTAAAGTGGGTCTTCTGGAGCCCTCATTCCCCAGCTTCTCAGAACCCTAAAAACCTGACACTTCCTTGGACGATTTGTAAAAGGGTCATCAAGAGAGTGAGAACCCCCGGAGCTGTCAGTGTCTGACACACCCATCCCACGAGATCCAAAGATTCCCCGCTTTTTGCCGCTCCCAAAAGCCCAGGCGCCCCCGCGTCCGGCTTCAGGAGCTTCAGCCAGGCGTAGGCCTCCTGAAGTCGAGGTCGTGCTGTGTCTAATTCGGGGCCCGGGCCCAGGTAGGCGGCTTCCTGAGAAGTCCCCCATTTTGAGACCCAGGTGGAACTCCCCAAAAAAAAAAGGCATGGTGTCCCAGTCTTGCACACAATTCCAAGCAGCTGCAAGTGAAGCCTATTTGCAGCCAGGCAGAAAGAACACCAGAACAATCAGTTCAAAAGGCGCCCTGCTCTTTCCAGCTAACTCAGAGCGGCTTGCCTGCCCTTTAAGCAGCAAACCCGGAAACCTCCATCTCTTCAGTTGGACGCACTCCTTCTTCTTCAGGGTGAGCGTGATCCGCTTGTTCTCGCTCACCTAACGCAGCGAGGCAACTCACTATGCTCACCTGCCAACTCTGATGCTTTAATGACAGCTTGTGTCTTGGGTGCGTGTATTTTTCTGTGTCGCACCCTAAACAAATATCATTTAGGCTGTTCGGCAACTTTCTCAGCGGAAGCTGTTTAACAGAAAAGCGACTCGTGTCTTGTTTCACCTGTTCTTCCTCTTCCGGTGTCAAAATCAAAATGCAAGTCCCCATCTTCCCGAATACAACAGAACCCGCGCTCCCAGTGAACCAACCGCCCTGTCGGATCGGAGTCCAGCCAATGCATACACTACTGCAACCATGGTCATAACGCTCTGGAATTCCAATTCAGTGCGGGGTGCTCCCTGATTGAAGTGTCAGACGCCAAATCTTGTTTCAACGTCTATTCGGCCACTGTAGCACCAGAAGACTGAATCATATATGGATAAGTGTGCCCAAGAAAACCCACATGAAAAGGGAATTCACAATGTTGTGTGTGTCGACAAATCTCATTTCAACGTCTTTTTCGGCACTGAAGCACCAGAAGAAGACTGAATCATATGTGGATATGTGGGCCCAATCAAACCCACATGAAAAGGGAATTCAAAAAATGGTGTGTGTGTGTGTCGCAAAATATCATTTCAACGTCTTTGTCGGCACTAAAGCACCAGAAGAAGACTGAATCATATGTGGATATGTGGGCCCAAGCAAACCCACATGAAAAGGGAATTCAAAAAATGTTGTGTGTGTGTGTCGCAAAATATCATTTCAACGTCTTTGTCGGCACTAAAGCACCAGAAGAAGACTGAATCATATGTGGATATGTGGGCCCAAGCAAACCCACATGAAAAGGGAATTCAAAAAATGTTGTGTATGTGTGTTTGTGTGTCACGCAAACGCTTGCGTCAAAAAAACTGAACTCGCGCAAATGTGTTTGCACGCGCGCTTTTCTGTTGCCTGTTTGCGCACGCCAGCCAAGACCTCTTTGGAACTCCCGGCGCCAACAACCCTTTGGGCTGAGATCTGCGGCTCTGAATTTGCACTCCTCGGGGATGATCTCGTAGTACAAACCTCGCAGCAGGGCACATGAAGCCTGAGCATAAAGACTGTCCACATGGGTTTGCGGTTTCATTCATCTCGCGTGGACTCAACTAGGGGCTTGCTCTGATCTTAGTCTTGATTCAGCAGTTACATTTTCATGACAGCTCCCGGAGGGCAGGGAAGTGACATTGGGAAGCCCGGAGCCTCCAGCCCCAACGCTGCTTCGCTGCGGGATCTTCCCAGCTGAAGCGCGTGGGACCCGCTTGCGGCGATGCCCGCGCCACCCTAGCCGCATGACAGCATCTGCCTAGTTGCGCTTCAAAGCCAGGCATGCAAGAAAAACAGCGCGATACGGACGCACGGCACAGCGGCGATGGGACTACGCGCCTGCTCGGCAATCTTCGCCCGGCACTGTCGAAGTCTCGCACGCTTCAACGGAAGACGAGGGCGCGGCAATTCGGTACACAGCGATGCTTGATCGTTGGCCGAGGGCCACCTTGGCTCAGCTCGCGAGCAGCCGACAGAGCCTGTTGTAGAGGACGCAGGTGGTTGGCCGATTCATGGAAGTGAAAGTAGGTCAGCGAGGCCGCCCGGCTGCCGAGACGAGACGGAGGCGCCGAAGCACGTTCGCTGGAGCGCTAATGGGTTTTGGAGCTGCGGCCTTCATAACTCGGTCCTCAGCCGGAACGTCCCGCAGTGTGCGCGTTTCATTTCACACACGCGGGAATGATGCCATTTTGGAGGTCAAGGTGTTGATCCAGCGGCTGGATTCTTGGTGTTTGGTGTGATACTCGCTTCCGAGAGACCCTCATGCGGTTGCGCCCTGGGATTGATTTGGCCTGTCTTCACCGAATGACGGCGCACGGGACCGTCGGGCCTGGGGGAATGGGTGCAACCAGGTTGGCGTTGTGACTATTGTGACTGCTGCCAGCTGTGCCTGTGGCTGTCCGCGATAGCGCGTGGCCAGGCATCCACGCTGAAGAGCGTGGATGGCAGCTTTGGCTCGGGGCGCGGCTTTGGCAGCTGGAAGGGAAATCAAAGCGACACCGCTCATTTTAGAGAAGATCTCTGCTTGTGAACAAATGCCCCGCAGCCAGCTCCTTTCGGCCTGGGGCCAAGGCGATCTAGGTCAAGCACCCAGTCCTCGCGACTGCAAAGCACTCTAATCCAGACCACTCATGCATGCGGCTGCTTGCCGCTTCCCTCAGAAAGTTGAGCCCCCGCGGAACACAAATCCCTCAAAGTAACCCGCAAGCTCGTCATCAGTTTACTTGCATTTTGCCGTGCAGTCCCCCATGAACGGCAAAAGTAAAGGGTTCCCAAGGCAAGCTAATAAACTCCACATTCGAAAGATGTGTGAATGCATGCATCTGTGTGTTTTTGCGGTATCGACCAGCGGCCTATCAATCTAACCCGGCTCAAAAAGTAGACGCTTACAGGGCTTATGGGACCCAACCCCCCGTGACTTCACACCCTTTTCGTGGAGTTTAGAAGGAACTTCTGTGGCACGGCGACCAAATTGATAGCTAGCTCTCTGACAGGTTCAGAAGAGAAGAGAAGAATGAGCCGCGCGAAAAACACTTTGTGCGCGTGAGGCGGGGGAACAGAAGTGTTCAAAACGCGCAACCCGCAGCGGGTGTCGGTTCTTTGGGATGGTCGAAAAAGAGCCTGACAGCGACGCCTGGTCGGAGCAGGCTCGAGCCACAATCGGACCACGTTCGGAGCCGGGCCCATTCAGCCGGGCGCGCACACTTCTCGCAACATGATGTATACACTTTCGCAAGGCTGGGTGCATATTTCGGTGGCAGGCGCATCCCTTTCGCGAGGTCAAGTACAGATTTCGTGGCATGCGCAGTACTTTCGAAAGGTCATGTGCGGATTCCGTGGCGGGCACAGCACTTTCGCAAGGTCGATGGACAAATAGATTGATGTAAAGAGATAGATGGAATCATATGCAAATAAATAGAAAGGAAGACAAAGAGGTAGATTAGATAGATAGATAGATAGATAGATAGATAGATAGATAGATAGATAGCTAGCTAAGTAGGTAGATAAGTAGATAGATAGATAGATAGATAGATAGATTAGATTAGATTAGATTAGATTAGATTAGATTAGATTAGATTAGATTAGATAGATAGATAGATACATAAATAGATATATTAGATAGATAGGTGGATAGATAGATTAGATAGATAGGATAGATAGATTAGATAGATAGATAGATAGATAGATAGATAGATACATAGATACATAGATACATAGATACATAGATACATAGATAGATAGATAGATAGATAGATAGATAGATAGATAGATTAGATAGATTAGATACATAGATAGATAGATAGATAGATAGATAGATAGATAGATAGATAGATAGATAGATAGATAGATAGATAGATAGATAGATTAGATAATTAGATAGATAGATAGATAGATAGATAGATAGATAGATAGATAGATAGATAGATAGATAGATAGATAGATAGATAGATAGATAGATAGATAGATAGATAGATAGATAGATAGATAGATAGATAGATAGATAGATAGATAGATAGATAGATAGATAGATAGATAGATAGATAGATAGATAGATAGATAGATAGATAGATAGATAGATAGATAGATAGATAGATAGATAGATAGATAGATAGATAGATAGATAGATAGATAGATAGATAGATAGATAGATAGATAGATAGATAGATAGATAGATAGATAGATAGATAGATAGATAGATAGATAGATAGATAGATAGATAGATAGATAGATAGATAGATAGATAGATAGATAGATAGATAGATAGATAGATAGATAGATAGATAGATAGATAGATAGATAGATAGATAGATAGATAGATAGATAGATAGATAGATAGATAGATAGATAGATAGATAGATAGATAGATAGATAGATAGATAGATAGATAGATAGATAGATAGATAGATAGATAGATAGATAGATAGATAGATAGATAGATAGATAGATAGATAGATAGATAGATAGATAGATAGATAGATAGATAGATAGATAGATAGATAGATAGATAGATAGATAGATAGATAGATAGATAGATAGATAGATAGATAGATAGATAGATAGATAGATAGATAGATAGATAGATAGATAGATAGATAGATAGATAGATAGATAGATAGATAGATAGATAGATAGATAGATAGATAGATAGATAGATAGATAGATAGATAGATAGATAGATAGATAGATAGATAGATAGATAGATAGATAGATAGATAGATAGATAGATAGATAGATAGATAGATAGATAGATAGATAGATAGATAGATAGATAGATAGATAGATAGATAGATAGATAGATAGATAGATAGATAGATAGATAGATAGATAGATAGATAGATAGATAGATAGATAGATAGATAGATAGATAGATAGATAGATAGATAGATAGATAGATAGATAGATAGATAGATAGATTAGATAGATAGATAGATAGATAGATTAGATAGATAGATAGATAGATAGATAGATAGATAGATAGATAGATAGATAGATTAGATAGATTAGATAGATTAGATAGATTAGATAGATTAGATAGATTAGATAGATTAGATAGATTAGATAGATTAGATAGATTAGATAGATTAGATAGATTAGATAGATTAGATAGATTAGATAGATTAGATAGATTAGATAGATAGATAGATAGGATAGGATAGGATAGGATAGGATAGGATAGGATAGGATAGGATAGGATAGGATTGGATTGGATAGGATTGGATTGGATTGGATTGGATAGGATAGGATAGGATAGGATAGGATTGGATTGGATTGGATTGGATAGGATAGGATAGGATACGATAAGATAAGATTAGATAAGATAAGATAAGATAAGATAGAAAGATAAGATAAGATAAGATTAGATTAGATTAGATTAGATTAGATTAGGTTAGGTTAGGTTAGGTTAGGTTAGATTAGGTTAGGTTAGGTTAGGTTAGATTAGGTTAGGTTAGGTTAGGTTAGGTTAGATTAGATTAGATTAGATTAGATTAGATTAGATAGATAGATTAGATTAGATAGATAGATAGATAAGATAGATAAGATAGATAAGATAGATAAGATAGATAAGATAGATAAGATAGATAAGATAGATAAGATAGATAAGATAGATAAGATAGATAAGATAGATAAGATAGATAAGATAGATAAGATAGATAAGATAGATAGATAGATAGATAGATAGATAGATAGATAGATAGATAGATAGATAGATAGATAGATAGATAGATAGATAGATAGATAGATAGATAGACAGATAGATAAGATAGATAAGATAAGATAGATAAGATAGATAAGATAGATAAGATAGATAAGATAGATAAGATAGATAAGATAGATAAGATAGATAAGATAGATAAGATAGATAAGATAGATAAGATAGATAAGATAGATAAGATAGATAAGATAGATAAGATAGATAAGATAGATAAGATAGATAAGATAGATAAGATAGATAAGATAGATAAGATAGATAAGCTAGATAAGATAGATAGATAGATAGATAGATAGATAGATAGATAGATAGATAGACAGATAGATAGATAGATAGATAGATGATAGATAGATAGATAGATAGATAGGATAGGATAGGATAGGATAGGATAGGATAGGATAGGATAGGATAGGATAGATAAGATAGATAAGATAGATAAGATAGATAAGATAGATAAGATAGATAAGATAGATAAGATAGATAAGATAGATAAGATAGATAAGGTAGATAAGGTAGATAAGGTAGATAAGGTAGATAAGATAGATAAGATAGATAAGATAGATACGATAGATAAGATAGATAAGATAGATAAGATAGATACGATAGATAAGATAGATAAGATAGATAAGATAGATAAGATAGATAAGATAGATAGAAGATAGATAGATATAGATAGATAGATAGATAGATAGATAGATAGATAGATAGATAGATAGATAGATAGATAGATAGATAGATAGATAGATAGATAGATAGATAGATAGATAGAATAGATAGATAGATAGATAGATAGATAGATAGATAGATAGATAGATAGATAGATAGATAGATAGCTAGATAGATACATAGATAGATACATAGATAGACACATAGATAGATAGATAGATGGATGGATAGACAGATAGATGGATAGATGGATAGACAAATAGATAGATTAGAAAGGTTACATTAGATTAGATTAGATTAGATCAAATAGATAGATAGATAGATGAGAAAGATAGATAGATCGATGGATAGACAGAGACACGTAAAGTGAGATTCAGCGGGTGAACAAAAACGATAGAAATAAGCCAAAGAGAGCAATAATTCTTGGATGTGCGCGTGTGTGCGCCTGCCCGCCCTCTTGCCGCGCGCTCCGCGCACGCACGATTGTTCGCCTGTATCGCGCGCTTTGCGACAAAGCAGGCTGCTTGGGGCGCGGGTCTGGTGATGACCGCTGTCGTCGCGAGAAGATAGACTGCAAGTCCGTCCTTGCACGTTCCAAGTGCTTGGATGCAGTTGTTGGGTTGTGTAGCTTTGGCTGGTGCTTGGAAGTGGTTCTATTGATATCTTTGAGGAAAGAGAGAAAAAGAACAGACATAGGAAAGAGAACGAGGAGAGAGCAATAGAAAGAGAAGAAAGAAACAAAGGAAGAGAAATAAGAGAGAGCAAAAGAAGAAGAAAAAAAAGAGGGAGACAAAGAAAGAAAGAAAGAAAGCCAGAAAGAAAGAAAGAAAGAAAGAAAGAAAGGGAGAGAGAGAGAGAGGGAAACACAAACAAAGAAAGAACCAAGAAAAACAGAACAGAAAGATGAGAAAAATACTGAGAACAGGAAAAAACAAAACAGAAAAATAACTATGCTCTTATGGTTGCTTTTCTTCCGCCCCCCGGCTCTACTGGTATTAATGTCAATTTGGGGGGGGACCCTCTGGCGGGTACTACTTTACACGCTCAGAGGGGGGGGGATTTTGGTGTCCAACCTTTGAAGCCGTTCAACCATTTAAGATCACAGCCATTTGAGGGTGGCTATCCGTTGCCATCCACTCAGGTCCAGCTTCTCTGCGTGGACCTTCAGCTTCAGTGCTTTGGGACGCCACGAGACCTGCGTCACAAAACCGCTGACGTGCCTGAATATGCATTAGCCTAAACAAATAATAATGTTGAGCATGTTAAATGCGTTCCTTGAGTAAGGCACACGATGAAAGGAAGCCTGGTTTTGGCATCCAGCCCAAGGGCCACGTTGATATGCGAGTTCAACACAATCCAACCCGCCGCATATCCAAAGCTTCGCAAAATGTGTGAGGTCCAACATGTGTTCGTCTCCCATGTCCGTTTCTCAGTTCAAACCAAGCGGCCAAACCTGCCAGAGTCCCACCAGTGGATCGCAATCTCTATGTTAATGGCCAGAAGATTCCAAAGCACTGCCAGCAAACCAAGCACCACCCCACCCAGACTGTGTTTGCCTCCCCCCTCTTTGGGACCTAGTTTGGACCTGAAGAAATCAACGAACGTTCAGCGGAAAAATGCGCATTTCCGACTTTCTGAGGTCATGAGACGCCCCCCCAAGGCCTCCACTTGGCCGCCCTTGCCGTCCTGGGCGGCGCCCAGCGCCTCCGGCTCCGCCTCCGCGGACACGTAGAGCTTCACCGCCTGCGCAAGACACAAGAACCAAAGGGGTTTCATGGGTTTTGTTTGGGTCAAACCGCATTCCCAAGAACCAAGGTACGAGTACCTCAGGAGAAGGGCCAGAAAACCGGCACACGCATTAAACACGAAAGGGGAACCCTCAGCGAAGTCTGGCCTCCTTCTCGTCGCCCCAGGCGTAGTTCAAGATGGCCCGCTCTGGCCGCTGTGGCTCCTGGCACTGAACAGTCCCCAGGTCTCCATTCCCTTTCAAAATCACTGGAAGGAACTCACCTGATGTCAGCCCAACATTGATGTTTGCCACCAATGGTCTTCTTTGTCATTCAAAACCATTCTCCAAGGAAAACTCCATGACATCATAGGTCAAAGCGAAGAACAGACCGACGTCCCCTCATTTGTCGTTGTCTTTTCCGTTCAACTACCGCAACAAAACCAAAACCACCCTACCCACGCCGTCCCAGCAACAAAAACTCACCATACATACCTAGATTCAATGCGCGCCAAGACCCCCATGGCCGGGGCCCTCGGTCTCCTTCTCGCAACAAAAAAGAGGAACTGGTACACAATTAAAACCAAACCATATGGGACTTCCATCTATTCTCCCCGAAGCTGACCCTAAATAAACCATCCCCCCCGCCCAGCCCCAAACCCCCAAACCCCCAAACCCCCAAACCCCAACCCCCTCCCCCTGCAGCCACGCGCCACGCGCCACCTAAACCGCCCAAACCGCCCCAAACCGCCCCAACCCGCCCGTGGCGCCCCTTTTTCGGGTCAGCCCTTCACTGCCGCCAGCAGCTCCCCGGGCGCCGCCGGAGGCGACCACCGCATCACCCGGGCCTCGTGGCTCGCTCGGGCGGCTCGTGGCTCCCTTTTAAGGTTGGCTTAGGGTAAGTTTGGGTCGGTTTATGGTTGCTTTAGGGTCGGTTTACATTGGCGGGTTTGGTTTGGGGTTGGCTTAGGGTCAGTTTAGGGTGCTTTCAAGTGGTTTTGGGTTAGCTTGGGTTGATGTAGGAGTGGTTTGCGGTTGGTTCAGGTTTGATTTGGTTCGGGTCCGTTTTGGGTTCACTTAGGGTTGGTTTCGGGTTGGCTTATGGTGTAAATGAGACAGGTCCCATGGGTTCAAAACACTTTAGGAAACCTAGTCACTGACACTGAGTCATTTAGGTCTGACCTATTTATTTATTTATCTTTGAGTTGGCAACCCTTGGTTGGTGGCTTTAAAGGGAAACCCAACAAAAACCGCGATGTCTTCTTGTTTTGTGTTTTTTGCTCCCAATTGCTGGCGCCAGCGAGGTTTTGTTTTGGAGGCCATCTGCCCCGAACAGCTGATGGGATCTAGCATGCCAAAAAGATAAAATCAAACGGTTGTCCACAGAGAATGAAGTCGAAGTGGCTCAGACATAGGAAACATAGAGAGGGAACCTGAAAACCCTTGGAACATCTACGTTCCTTTGGTCCATTCCAAAATGGAACCAGGGTGCAACAAACCATTTGGAAAAGATTCAACTCGCGACACACACGCACATATGTCACACATCTGGCGCCCGCTTGGTTGCCCGATGCAACCAAACCACGAGGTGTTCGCAAAACCGGGGCAGCCCAAATAACTTGCCCCCCGAGAACCATTGTGGAGGAGCTGACAAAATTATTGCTCCTTTTGAAGCGGGGATGCTATTGTCAGGCGGCAATAGAATGAAAGCTTGGTCGGCTTACAAGAACGGCCCCTTTTGAAAACACTGCACATTAGAGGGGGTCTTCGCAAAACTAGGGACCGAGTGGTTTTCTATTTGGAATTCCTGTCACAAGCGTCACAAACGCGGTACGGTTTGAGACACACTCATCTGGTTCTGAACTTCAATTGGCAGCCCCTCAAAAAGGGTCGGCTTGCCGACATAAGTAGCCATGCAAATCAAGCCCACCAACCGATCCCCAATTCATACCCATATGGGTGTGCCCTTTCTTAGGGTGTGCCCTTTTTCGGGGGTCTGTAACGTGGTGGGTGCTCCTTTTGGTGTTCCTTTAACACCGACCAGGAGCGGCTGCCCTCCGAAAAGACACCACCCTTCTCTTATGTGCTTCGGGCCCCTGGCGTTGCCGAAGTCTGCCACGATGAGTCCACCGGCGTCCAGCGTCACATCCACTGGCCTTGCTGCCAATGAACAAAGAATTTCGGGGGCGGAACGTAGCCAAAATCAACCCGGAATAGAGATGAATAGAACTTAGAGGACACAAAGTCTCCCCATGCAGCCATTCGCATAAGCACTGAGCGCTGCATGCGGTGGTACAGGTCATTTCCCCGTTCACTCCCCTGTCACGTGCAGCATGGATGCAGTCATGACAACTCGGAATGCCCCCCCCCCAACCAGTCGGACTAGGGGCGCGGCCACAAGACATACCGCCCAAAAATTGAACAAAAGAAACTCAACATCCTTTGGCACAGACACCAAAAGACAATTTGCACAAACTCTCTCGTGATGGCTTTCATGCAATAGATGTGTACGGCGCAGGTTGCAAGCTGCTATTGACCACATATTGCAAGTGCGCACAGGATCGCACAAGAATTTACCATAGTTCGGGGTTGTCCACAACACATCTACTCTGAGCTTGCCTCCTGAGTCAAAATCGCGTGGCAAGGGTCATCTTCGCTCCGTCGTGTCTCCGGAAAACACAAGACGACCATCCCATCCAGCCCCCATTCGTCCAAATCAAACCTCTACCAAGATCGGCACTCCTTCAGCTGGTGCCTGGCAGGCACGAGACATGCAAGTCCTAGGCTGCTAGCCGGGGGGTGGATTCATTGAAACCGATGATCATTGTGTCTTGAACAGACCCCCCCTTTTTTATCCCTGCTTCTGTGCGTGTTGCGTCAAATCCTTGGCCGGCAGCGCAGACCATCCCCAGGCCCATAGCCGCCGGCAGCAAGGACGCCTGACAGCCAGCCGTCTGGTGGCTTCAAAGAGCACCAAAGTTCTGGAGAACCAAACGCTCTCCAACCGAACCCAAGATTTGATTTCAAAATTTAAGCACGACTCCTGCGCTTCCAACAGTTCCATCGGGCAGTGTGACCCTGACGCGCATGGCGACAAGAGACGTGGTGCCCCAACACGTGCAAACGTGCCATGCTCAAAGTCCTGCATATGGGTCCCTTCATGGAGAATCCTTATTCAACTTACAAGCAGATCCAGATGCCATGACCATCCCTTCTGTCGAAGCCCAATAATATTGCAAGTAGGACTGCAAGGATTCCCCCACTGTACGTGTAGTTTCCGGTTGGCCTACTTGACCTGCTATATTGGAGAATCTGTAGGAATACCCTGACCAGCTTGCACAAAGCTCAGGGTTTTCCTAGTGCAAGGGAAAAGAGGCATATTCCTCAAAGGTTTGAACAAGTCCTTTAGGTCGCAACTGGGCGAAACTCCTCCAGGCGACAGCACGTTGGCCTGCTTTCGCCCCGTCGCGCCACTTCATCACCCGGTGATTCCCCGTGTCCGCCACGAAGAGCGTGCCTGGCCGAGGTGAGTCTGTGGAGCGCGCGCGCATGTGGGGTTTTCGGTCATGGTTGTTGCCCAGGGTGATGTCCCTCCAAAACGCGAGCTTGATGGTCTGGACGTGTGGCTCCGCAAGGCAAAGAGTCAAAGAGCTCACAGACCCAGCCAAGCGAAGCGGGCGGGCCGTTGTCCAGCGCCCAAATGCCGCTGGGATGGCCTAGTCAAAGGCTTCTGACCAGCTCACGGGACATCTGACCTGAGCCTCACAGTAAGTTTCAACTGGAGTTGCGACTGCCGCAATTCGCTTCAACTTCTCAGACCCTCGGGCGTGGAACAGCCCGGAAACTTGTCCAATCTGCCTGGGACTCTGGACCCCATCCCAAATGGTGCTTTATGCTGGCTGCTCCTCAAACTGACCACGGAAGGGTCCACCAACCCACCTTAGTTCGCATACTATTGGAGGAAGTCGGGAGCCAGCCAAAGACTCACTGGGGCCTTCAAGCGAGGAACCTGGTCTCAGAATCTTGATTCAGCGCATTTGTTTAAAAACTTCGAAACAAGATCGAAGCTGTCTTCCCTGACCAGAAACCCAGCCTTTGCCGCTCAAAAGGGAAAACGGATGAAAACACGACCTACCTCCGGTCTCCTTTTGCCGCCGTCCCCACGTCCTCTCTGGCCGCGGGGCTCAGCTGGTCGGCGCCGCTGCCGCAGCCCTTGCCCCCCGCCACAGTCACGCCCACCTGGCCCAGGCACGCGAGGAGACGACGCTTCCCGCAGAAATCAAACGGGAGCCAGGGGTCATTCCGCTGAGCACCAAGTCTTTGGTGATCGCAGTGATCGCCTATGCCCCCCGTCGCGCAAATCCGGTACGCCAGAAACTGCTCTATGAGCATGATCTATCCCACATCCACCACTCTGCACGAGCCTTGGCGCCGGGATCCCATCGCTGCACCCGGTGGTTGCCAGTGTCCTCAGCGGGCCGAAGCCTATGCAAGGACCTGCAGTCTTGAAGCGCATCCATTTCCTCCACGCCATGATGCCCTCTCCGCAATGTTCGTTCGAGAAATCTCTGGAAGCCCGATCTCAAACGATGCAGCCTTCACCATAACATCTCACTTCTCCTCTCCGAACTAATTGAGGAGTACACCCTCCCCGCTGAAATTCGTCCAAGGAGGAATTTATCGGCACCCCCCCCCCAACCCCCCTAACGAGGAGCACAACGGTACATCATTGCGACCTTGAGTACAACACGATGCCCAGCTCTCCAGAAACTACCATCGCAGCAACTCAACCCAACGGCTCCAAGAACATTCTTTGCCGACTGCTACGGGGAAGCATGCCTACTAACAACCTCAACATCCGAGAGCCCAAAGTTTCCCTGTATGCAACCTGGAACAACAACATGATCCAACATCGAGCGGACCCACCCGAGCGAAATAAAGCAAGCAGCGGCTGCCTGCTGCAGCAAGTATTCAAACTTGCCGCGGTCCACCCGAAAGCCATTTCAAGCTTCCCTCCTGCTGTTTGTTGATCTCTCTGCACCAGGAACACCGGGAATTTCGAGGGCACGGGCCACACCCTTCCCACTGCCCCAGCCCCAGCGCTCGCCTCTTTTGGGGGGGCGGCTTTCGTCTGCATCGGCACAAGGTTTCTCAGCATGAGTCAGAACCTTCACTTGCTCTCCGGGCGCCCACCCTGGTGTTTCTGCGCGAAGGGAGCCCGTCGA